CTGGCTCCCTCTCCTCCTCTCTTGGCTTTTGAGGGAATAGGGCAGAGCAGGAACCCTGGGCTGGGAGACAGGACCCCTGAGTCCTCCACGGCCCCTGGACCAGTTGATGTCATTCGTCCCTTAACTTTCCACTGAGCACCTATCCTGCGCTGGGCTCAGGGCAGCTCTGCCAGAGCCCATATCATGGAGGAGCAAGTCCACCAATCTGTTGCCTTCTATCCCCTCCTTCCCTCACTCCAGATGCACTGGCCAGTTCCCCACACTTCACATCCACCAGCCCCTGCCCCATGGGCTTCCTACACTGCTCAGAACATTCTTGACTCACTTGTACCCATCTTTCAGGACTCCGCTTGATGGCACTACCTTCCCTAATCCCCCCCCAACTAGATTAATACCTTTTCCTATAGGATTTCCTAGCCCCTGGACTCATCTTCAGAGCAGTTATCACCCCTGAATTGTTTCCCTGGTTAATGTCTGTCTCCCTCAACCACACCGTAAGCCCCAGGATGGCAGACACAATGTCTAGTTATTCCCCGCCACGTCCCCAGTACCTGAAAAATAACAGATGGTCAGGAAATGTGTGTTGATGAAATGAAGTGATGTTTCACTCGGGCTTTTGATGTGGGGGAGTACCAGGGGGATATTCTTGGCAGAAGGAGTATCTTCTAGGAGGTTCTAGCAGGTTCTTTGTGATGGGAGCTCAGGAGGAAAGGATGGGAGGGCTGAGGTGGAGTCTGGGTGCCTGGGGGCAGGGCATGGGGGCAGGGCATGGAGGAGAGTGGACCTTCCCTGAAGCCTGGGAGTTGGGGGGGGGGGGTGTCTCCCAGCTTTGCAGGCATCTCCCGAAGTACCACCATCGTGACGGCATATGTGATGACTGTGACGGGGCTTGGCTGGCGGGACGTGCTTGAAGCCATCAAGGCCACCCGGCCCATCGCCAACCCCAACCCAGGCTTTAGGCAGCAGCTTGAAGAGTTTGGCTGGGGCAGCTCCCGGAAGGTAGGGAGACGCAGGAGCTGCGCAGGGCTAGGAGACTCTTTCCACTTGGAGTTGAGCCCCCATCGCACAGAATTTAGCCCGCGCTTCAGGCCTGGCAGGAGATTTGGCTCCGGTCTCGAACTCATGACCCTTGAGCTAATCTAGCCCTTAGGTGTATTTTGTTCAGTCAGCCAGATGTTTCCTTTGCCTTTTTAGTTTGGAATTGGGTTGCCTTTGGGCCAAACTGTGGACCCTTCCATTTGACCAGGCCCTAGCACTGCCTGCTCTAGGTGCCTGGAACCTGAAAGCATTGGAATGTTTGACCCGTTTGGGGGAGACTTGCCCATTCCCTACTCCACCCCTGGGTCCCTGGTGAGGCCAAATCAGGTCCTTCTCGTGGGCCCACTGGGCAGATGGCACACGGAGATGGCAGCAACCGAGGCCAATGGGTTGGATAAAGGCTGAGAGACAAAAGCAGCAGATGCTGGAAGGCTCTCCCCGGGGGGCAGGCTGGTTCTCAGAGGCTTATCTGCGAGGCCGCCTTAGGAAGAGGCCCGCGTGGGAGTCGTTGCTGCTCAGGGAGGAGGGCTCCGGTGGTCCCCACTGTTGTGGGGGGGCGGGCGGGCGTCGCTTTAGCAGGCCTGGAAGACGGGGTGTCAAAGGGGAAGGGGGTTCCGGAGAGGGAAGGGAGGAGCGGGCTCGTCAAGGGCGGTGGAAACTCAGAAGGGAGGGTGAGAGGATGCTCGGGAAGGGGAGGGGCCGAGCGAGGGGTGGGGAGCTCTCGGACCGGTGGCAGCGACGAGGACTGGGGGGGGGGGGGGAACCGGCCGGCGGGACCCGCACCGATACCCGGCTCGTCCCCCTCTCTCCCCCCCTCCCATCCCCCAGCTCCGCCGGCAGCTGGAGGAGCGCTTCGGAGAAAGCCCTTTCCGCGACGAGGAGGAGGTGCGCGCGCTGCTGCCGCTGTGCAAGCGCTGCCGGCAGGGCCCTGCGCCCGCGGCCGCGTCCCCGGCGCCGCGCTCGGCCACCTCCGAGGGAACCCTGCAGCGCCTGGTGCCGCGGCCGCCCCGGGAGGCCCACCGGCCGCTGCCGCTGCTGGCGCGCGTCAAGCAGACTTTCTCTTGCCTCCCGCGGTGTCTGTCCCGCAAAGGCGGCAAGTGAGGACCCCGGCCCCGCTCTTCCTCCCCTCCGACTGGTCCCCTTCGGGGCTGTCTGGGCCTCCCACGGCCTCCAGGACGGGCCCAGAGCCCGTGGGAGCCCCGCGGCGGCCTGAGCCCTGCGCCCCTGCCCCGCCCCCCCATGCCCCCCCCCCCCCCCCGGCTTGTCCGCGTCTGGAGTCTGTGTCCTCCATCTCTGTGCGTCTCTGTGTCTGGGCCGGCCTGCTGCAGCCACCTGGTGCCTTAGTCCTTGGGCTGGGGGGGAGGGGGCACCCGAGCCTCCACCCTTAAAGGCAGCGGGAGTGGGAGTGGGGGTGGGTGGGGGTTAGATGGGCCTGGAGGATATTAAAGAGACACAGAAGCTGTCTGTCTGAGCTCCTCCTAGTCATTCCTCAAGGCCAGGGATGCAGAACTCAGCCAGGGGCTGGAGCCTGCTGGAAACAGCGCTGGGAGGGGGTCTGCATCCACAGGGTCCCAGGAGCCTGCCACCTTCCATAAACTGCAGTGGGCAGGGCCGAATGCCAGGCTCCACTCACTACCCTGACCCCTCACCCCCATCTCTCCCAGGAGCCCTGGCCTCCTGAAGAGGCCCCTGAACGCCCCCCTTCTCCCTGAACCTCCTTCCCCATCTGAGCCCTTCTCTTCCTCACCAGCTCCCTCCTCTCCCCTGTTCACAGATCCTAGCTAGCAAGCTATAGAGGGAGAGCTTCCTTGGTGTCTGCCTTTTTTACATGCAGGAGTTCACTTAACCCTTGGGAGGAAACTGAGGCTCAGAAAGGGTAGTAGGCAGCTTGCCTGAGGACAGCTAGGGTAGCGGAGGCTGGATTTGAACCTAGGCAGTCTTTGCCTGGTGGTGGTGGTTAAGAAACAGCTCCTTAGCGTCCATTTTAATCAGATTCTTTGGGCCTTTTCGGTGGTGACTTGCATACATCCTTTATATATAGTTTGGATATTAACTCTTTATTGGATATGTCACTTGCAAATATCTTCTCCCACTGCGACCCTTCCCACCTAGCTTAAAGCCCCAGGGCAGCCACTGAGGAGAGAAAGCCTCGGGGGAGCCTGAGAAAGCAGCAAACTGACCCCGAGGTAAACAGAGGTCATCCGAGCTGAGTTTTCCTAACCTAAAGTAACCTGGGGTTGAGAGGTCTAACCTAACAGCCACCTGTACAGGGTTCCTGTTATGCACTTAGCACTGTTCAGAGATGTGGGAGAGGCCCAGATCCCAGTCCTGGGAGCACATGGAAGGATGAAGTAATCTTCACCTGCCGCCCTGCCTGCTCCTCCGGAAACAGGCTGCTGTTCAAAGTCACCAAGGTGGGGCTGGGATTCGAATCCAAGTAGTCTGGCTGGGAAGTTGCGGGCACGCCATCCTCTTAGTAACTAGGATTCTGCCACCCAGAAATATGAAGAGATTGTCGGACACACTTCAGATTCCCACCTGGATCTAATCATTACTCTCGGACTTAATCCCCTGAAATGCTTTAGGCCCCCACTGGAGCCCTACGGGGGAGTCTGAATCCTGGCTGCCCCTGTAGAGGGGTCAGAACTGAGTGGCTGCTGGCACCTGAGAACAGAGGGGTGAGGAGCAGGAAGAAGCCCCCACCCCCCACCCATGGGCACCCCTGAAGGACAGTGCTACCGACCTCTAGTCAATGGACTCGGCCTCGTGCTCTGTGCTCCCTGGGGGTTTTAGTTTCCCCATGTGCACAGCAAAGGGGGAAGCAGTGTGCGCTACCTGACCTCTTTCAAATCACAACTCCCCTTTGGCAACTGAATGAAAGACACAAACCCCCGGAAAAATGCACAGGCATGAAAACATTTGCATACACTTTCTGTGGGGGTGGGTGTCCGTAAACCCCAGGCGTAAGCTCCTGGAAGGCAGCATGGGGCACTGTTTAGGCTCCTGGGCTCTGGGGACACAGAGACACAGGTTCAGATCCTGACTCAGCCCCACATACCAGCTCTATGACCTTGTTATAGGGCTTTGACCTCTCTGAGCCTTATTCTTCTTAATAAAATGGGTAATCACCATCTCACGTGCCGTGGTGAGAACCAACTGAGACTGTGCAGGGAAGGTTTTAGCCAGGCCAACACTGGAGTGAGAGGCATCCGTAGATGAGGACTTCCGATATTTAAGGAACCATTTCTGCAAGTGTGGCCCATGGACCACCTAAATCAGAATCCCGTGGGAGAACTCGTTAAATGCAGATTACTGGGCTTCTTGCCCAGAAAGTCTGATTCTGTGGGTCTGGGATGGAGGCAAGGAGTGTACTTAAAAAAAAAAAAATTTTTTTTTAAATGTTTTATTTCTGAGGGAGAGACAGCATGAGCAGGGGAGCGGCAGAGAGAGAGGGAGATAAAGAATCTGAAACAGGCTCCCCACTCTGAGCTAGCTGTCAGCACAGAGCCCAAAGAGGGGCTCGAGCGAGCCCCACTAACTGCGATCATGACCTGAACCGAAGTCTGTAGCTCACCCGACTGAGCCACCCAGGCGCCCCAGGAGTGTACACTTTGAACAAGTCTCTGCCTCTCAATTCTGATTGGAATTAGTCTGAAAACTACTTTACAGCCTCTATAGTCTTGGTCCCATAGTCTGGGAAGAACAGAAAACAGGTGCATGGGTGGGGCAAGGGACGCCTCTGGTGCCCTTCGGAACTCCACTCTGGGGACGGGCAGATTCCGGGCTACCCAACCCCTACCCTCCAATGGGTCTTGGCCTCTCACCGCGCCTCTGCCTCCTGGGCGCGGCCAGGCTACCCCAGGGAGGGGCGAAAGGATAGGGCTTCCCGGGTGAGGGGGGCAGAAAGGAAAGCGAAACTCGCCTGTCCCGAACTTTCACTTTCGCCGCCTCTGCGCGCCACCCAGGTGGCTTCGCGATCCACTGTCGCGCTGGGGTCCTTGCTGCCGCGCTCCCCAGGACCTGACCCGCGCGGCGCCCTGCGGTTTGGATGGCCGGCGACCCCTGGCGGAGGGAGGAGAGGAAGGTCCCCGACGGCAGGCGGCCGATGGCAGGGGCCGGGGGTCCCCTGCGCCTCCGCGACTGGCTGGTGGCGCAGATCGAGAGCGGGCGCTATGCGGGGTTGCGCTGGGAGGACGCAGGCAAGACCCTCTTCCGCATCCCCTGGAAGCACGCGGCCCAGCAGGGCTACCGGGCGCAGCAGGACGCGGCGCTCTTCAGGGTAAGGGCGCGCCGGAGCCGCGGGGACGCCGCCCTGGGGCCACTCTGGCCCCTTGGCCGCAGCCGTCTGAGTTGCAGGTAGTGTTCTGCATATACGAGAGACCCTCCGACGCCCTCTGAAAACAATCAGCCTCCTCCCCCAGGGAGCTCTCCTCCTCCACGGGGAAATTAGATGCCACCCAAGGGGATTCCAACTTCTCCCCCTCCCCCCAAAGCAATCCCAGCAGCCTGGGGACATTTTCTGTGCTTCCCCACCCCAGTCCTTCTCCCGGTCCTCCTCCAGGGATGCCCTCCCTCGCTTCAGTCATCATTAACCTCCTCCAAACTGCCTCCTTCCCATCAACATTTCAACTCTGGAATCTCACCCCTGAGCAATCAGCAAGAGCCCCCGCCACCCCAACACCACAGCCACCTCCAGCTCCCCGCTTCTCTGGGCTCCCCTCTCCTCTGGGCTCCCCTCTCCTTTCACAGGGTGAAGGGCCAGGAAGGAAGCTCCTGGTCATCAACTCCCTCACTCACAGCCCCCAGTTCCTTTCTGCCCCCACCCCACCCCGGGCCTGGCTTCCGCCCCTCCTGCTAACTAGTTGCCAAATCCAAGGATGCCGTCACTGTTATCTTTGTCCCCTGGGTGGGTCTGGGCCTGGCGGACCCTTCCTCCTTGAAACAGCTGCACTTGGTTTCCAGAATCTGCCCCCACCCACCCCCTGCCCTGTTTTCCTCCTCCGACCTTGCGGCTCCCCCTCCTCAGCATCCACCCACCCCCTCACCTTTTGGTACTCTCAGCACTCGCTCTGGGAAGAAGCTCAGAGAAGCTTCTCTGCAATGGTCTGCTTGCGCCCATGCCCACTGTCTCTCACCAGGACCGAAGCAGTGACCTCACAGAGCTCCCTGCTTCCCCTTGCCTCTCAGCTCCCCCCTCGGTCACCCAGAGAGCTCTTCCTAAATGTAAATCTTGCCTTAACACTCCCCTGTTCAGAATCCTTCCATGGCTCCCCATTGCTCCTATGATAAAGTCCCAACTCCGTGCTAAGGCTTCAAAGCGCCGCCTGAACTGCTCCTCCCTGAAGTCGTCTCTCCCGCCCTGCCCTCCCCAGCTTTAAACCTGGCCTGCCAGTTCTTTCAGTTTCTAAATGCTTCATGTCTCTCTCACTATTAGACCTTTGCGCTTGCCGTTCCTCCTGCCTGGAACACCCTCTCCTTTCCCCCTTCTCCCGGCTGACTCCCATGTGCTCAGCTTAAATACGCCCTTCAGAGCCTCCCCTGATGCATCCATCTGTTGAATGCATTTATCCATCTCCAGCTCAGTGCTTTTCCCAAGCCGTCCCTGATTCCTTCTGCTTCTTCCACTGGAGGGACTTTCCTTGTGCATCATGAGGGCCTTGTGGGAGTCTGTCTTCTCCAGCGGACTCTCTCCAGCTATTCAAGGGTAATGACGCTGAGCGCAGCGCCTGGCCCACAGAGGGTGCTCCCTAAGCGTTGAGCAAGTAGTTACCCAGCTTGTCCCTAAGGACTGTGCTATTCAGAGGAGATTCTTTTTTTTTAATTTTTTAAATTTTATTTATTCATTTCGAGAAAGACAGACAAACAGAGAGAGAGAGAGAGCAGGGGAGAGGCACAGAGAGAGAATCCCAAGCAGGCTCTGCTGACCAACACATGGCTCGAACCCACGAAACACAAGATCATGACCTGAGCCGAAACCAAGAGTCAGTCACTCAACCAGCTGAGCCACCCAGACACCCCAGAGACACAACAGATTCTGAGGGCTGCCCTCCCCTTCCCTCAACCCACCACTAACCCACACAAGGGATCCCCTGGCCTCACACCCTCCTGGTGTCCCAAGGGGCGTGGGATAAAGTTTGGCCCCTGAGAATCTTCACGCTCCGGCTTCAATCTGTCTCTTCTTTCTTAATTCCTCTTCCCCTTTCCCCGCCACAGGCAGTTGATCCTCATTATTCCTGGATTCCGCATTTGCCAATTTGCCTATTCGCTATAATGAATTTGCAATGCCAAAATCAATACTCAAGGTAATTTTGTGGCCCATGGGCGTGTGCAGAATAGCGACATATTTGAGCCACCAGACATGCACCCTCCCAGCCGAGGCTGACCAAGGTGACACTCTGCCTCTTTGTTCCCGCTCTTCTGTGTAAACACATGCAGACCCAGCTCCGGCAACACCAGACTGCTGGCCATTCCCTGAATGTGCCAGGCCCTTGCACACCTACAGGTCTCCGCTCAAGCTCTTCCCTCTGCTAGGAAGGCCATTCCACCAGGCAACTTCCTACTCACCCCGGAGCCCCAGCTCAGTTCACGCCACAAATACTTCTGGAGTGCTTCCTGTGTGCCGGGTGTGGGGGTCACAACAGCAAACACAACAGAGGCCCCTCTTTCAGCGTAGACAGCACTCTGGGCCCGGTGCCCAGGCTAACTTTCACTTATATCCTTAATATAATGAAAAAACTTCAATAAGTAAGCACTGACTGTATGCCAGGCACTGTGCTAAGCACTTTACCTAGACCACTCATTCTATACCCCTCACAACCACACAAGGATAGATATTATGGCCACCGTTTGCCGACCACAAAATCAAGCCTGAATGCTCTCACCGCTGGCAAGCGGCACCAGCACAGAGCTGGCTCTTCTGTTTGGGGTCCATGTCTCCCCACCAGGCCAGGAACCGTTGGGGGCAATGACTGAATGGGATTCATCAGTTAAAACCCCCCAGCCCTGAATGTGATCTGTGCAAATGGGACTTCTCCTCCTGTCACCCGTCTGCTCCAGCCACATCCGCCTTGCTTGATCTGTCGGTCTCTGCCCACCTCAGGACCTTTGTACTTGCTGTTCTTCTACCTAGGCCACCCTTCCCCCCAGCTCTTTGTCAGACTCCATCTTTTTCATTCAGGCTTCAGCTCAAATGCTACTTTCTCCTAGAGGCATTTCTGACAACCACTCTAAGGTAGCCCCTCATATTCTTCTGCCTCCCTTCCTCCCTTCCCTCCCTCCCACCCCTCCCTCCTTCCTTCCCTCCTTCCTTCCTCCCTTCCTTCCTTCCAAACCTCCACCACAAGAGTCACTCTAATGCATGTAATGAATATCTTTGGTCTGCACGCTTTCTTGCAGAATGGGCATCGCTGGGTCGTGTGTGTTCTTACCGTATATACTTCATGTGGTCTGTAGATTTCCTTCTGTGTCTGACTTTTTTTTTTTTTTTGCTTCGGATCATGCTCTGAAGATATATTCTTGTTCCCTGTGCATTTAATTCATTGCTCCTAGATACTTCTAGATGCTGCACGGGCTCCCTGTTGGGCACCACGACACCCTCCGCCAACTCACTTTCCCAGGGCGCGGATACGAGTTTGTGTTCCAGCCCCAGAAGCAGTGCTGTAGTGAATATCTTTGCCCAGGTCTCCTCACAAGCCTCCGTGAGCGTTCCTTCGGAATTAGAATTTCTGCTCGCAGGGCATGCCGGATTACCATCCAGAAGCTCTGCACCAGGCCATGCCCGCCAACAGTGTCCGCATCCCCACCACCTTCTGGCATGATCCAACTCACTAAATTTTGTTGGCTTACGGGTGATAGCTCACGTTTTTGTTTGCAGCTCTGTGACACTAATGAGTTTAAGTATATCCTCATATGCTTGTGGGCTTCTGGTTTCCTTCTCCCTAAACCACCCACGCTTGCCCTTCCATAAGAACCTTCTTTAGGGGATGCTCTCTGTTTCCTGTCGGTTTGCAGAGTTCCTTGTATATTCTAAAATTGGCCCTTGCCGGGTTCAGGCATTGTAAATGTTTTGTCTTCTGGTCCCTGCCTTTGAAATTGTTGATGATGGTATTCTGTACCCCTAGAAAGGTTTCTTCCACTTTATCTTCTATGAGCTCACGGTTTCTCCTCTAACCTTTGATTTTTCTAACCAGCTGGGGTCCACTCTGTATGTGACAAGAGGTAAGGATTTAGTTTTCTGGTTTTCTAGGTAGCAAATCACTGCCACTGTTTTATATCCCATCATCTTATTTTTTTAAATTGACCATAATCCATGACTTGAAATCCAATTAGTTCCACTTAGCTGCGTGTCACTGTTTCCTCTCATTAGACTTGAGTTCCTGGAGAGCAGGGGCCATGTCTGTCTTGTTTCCTATTTGGTCCCCAGCCCCTGGCTCGGGCCTGGGGGACAGTAGGAGCTCATGGAATATGTGTTGGAGGGAGGGAGGGACAGTGGGAAGCATGAAGGGGCAGAGAGACAGAGGCTTGGAGGGAGACAGAAAGGATGGGAGGCAAGGTGCGCCCTCATTCATCTGCACGGCAGCAGCCCCCTCTCCCAGGCTATTCCTCCCCAAGGACCCCTGCTCGCCCCCAGGCCTGGGCCATACACAAGGGCAAGCACATAGAGGGCATGGACAAGGAGGACCCCCCCACCTGGAAGACACGGCTCCGCTGTGCCCTCAACAAGAGTGCCGACTTCTGTGAGGTGCGTGAGCGCAGCCAGCTGGACGTCTCCGACCCCTACAAGGTCTACCGGATTGTGTCCGACGGTGCTCAAGGCCCAGGTACGATCCTGCCTCTGGAGGTGGTGGCCGAGGGTGGCTCTCCCCACCCTGCCCATCTGCAAACTGGGGGAATGGTGGGCTTATGGAGCTTAAACTCATGGGCTTGTAGACACAGAAGGACCCATAGACACTTTATCTTCCCATGAGAAAAGGAGGAAACTGAGAGGTGAGAGAGGCGGGCCCTGCCTGAGATCATGCCATGAGCTGGGATACTCTTGTGTGGGAGCACCTCTGCTGGGGGGCTCCCCTTGAGGCCCAGGAAACAGCAGGTTGTCGTTGCTCCATCCAGCGGCCAGGACTCGTGTTCCGCCCCGAAAGCAGAACATCCTCCGGAGCCGGCAGGAGCCCCCTAGGGGAGTGACGGAGCTGGCCTGCGGGACGGACCAGGTCAGCTGTCCCTCCAGCCCCCGCAGCATTAACAGCCCAGTCCCCGCTGCCCTCGGTGCTCTCTGGCACTGTCGTCTGTCCTGTCCTCTCCTCCAGCTGCTGCCCCATCACCACCCCTGTCCCTCCTGCCAGCCCCACCCCTTCTTACCTCTGCTCCACCATCCCCTTCCCTTCGCCTCCAACGCCTGCAGCTCCGTCGCCGGCTGCATCACCCTGTTTCCTCCAAATTCACTCCTTGCCCCTCTCCTCACTCCCACCTCTGTCCTCTCTATCACCTCTGTCACCTCTGTCCCCTCATCTCTGCCACTTCTGTCCCCACCTCTATCATCTCTGTCCCCACCTCTGTCACCTCATCTCTGTCACCTCCATCCCCATCTATCACCTCTGTCCCCATCCTAATATGTCCATCCCCACCTCTCTCACCTCTGTCCCCACCTCTATCACCTCCGTGCCCTCATCTCTGCCACCTGTCCCCTCATCCCTGCCACCTCTGTCCCCCATCTCTATTGCCTCCATCCCCCACCTACTCATTCTCTCCTCACACATCTCTCTCTAGCAAAGTGAGCTTTATCTCTGACCCCATAACCTCCAACAGCCCCATCAACTCTCTACTTCTGTGTGGGAAAGGGTCTTGAACTCTGAAACCTCAAAGTCTCTATCAACCCCATTGGCCTTCAGTCTGCCCAGACTTCCCTCTGCCCCAGCAAGGACAGTCTGGGAACTCCTGTGGCCCACAGTCTCCTCTCCAACCCTCATGAGCCTCTCTCCCAATGGCCAGGATGGCTCCAGATCAACCACGGAGGATAAGGACAAGGAGGCCCCCCCTAGGCTGGCCCAGCAGGGCTCCCAGCCACCAGCTGCCAGGCCCCCAGGCCCTCTGGCTGACCACAGTAAGGACCGGATCTCCCCGCCTGCCCTCACCTCCTCCCTGGCCTCCTCCAGGATCTTGATTTAGGGGTCGAGGGACACCAAGTGAGTGGTGCCTGGCTGCTTCCCCTCCTTCCCTAGGGTACCAGGCTCGGGATCCTACACACCGCTGGAGCCCCTCACCCTCTGAGGACTTCAGTAACCCTGGTAAGGAATCTGAAGGCCTTCCCCTCGGGCTAGTGCCCAGAACTGGGGAGAGCCAGGGGGTGAGGCCTGTCTTTCACCCAAAGCACCCAGCCTAGATAACAATGACAGCTAATGTTCATTGAGGGCTTAGTTTCTGCCAGGTTTTTTTTTTTTTTTTTTTTTTTTAAATGCTTTATTTATTTCTGAGAGAGAGAGAGAGAGAGTAGGGGAGGGTCAGAGAGAGAGGAGACACAGAATCTGAAATAGGGCCAGGCTCTGTGCTGGTTGTCAGCACAGAGCCCGACGGGGGGCTTGAACCCACGAACCACGAGATCATGACCTGAGCTGAAGTCGGTCGCTTAACCGACTGAGCCACCCAGGCACCCCTCTGCCAGGTCTTTCTAAGCTCTCACGGCAGCCTGTGAGACAGATGCTGCCATCACCCCCACTGTACAGATGCAGAAACCCGACACAGAGGTTAAGAACCTTGCCCCAAATCACACAGTTAGTAGCCCTGGGAAAGTTCCTGTCGGGTCACAGCTGCTAAGCAGCCTTAACCGTTGAGCATACTGCTGGCCCCTCATAGGGAAGCTGACTTGCTGTTGTTTCTACCAGCATGAAACTATTTGCTGGGAAGAAGCGCCTAGAATCCCAGAGGTCACGACTGGAAGGGCCCTAGGGTCCTTATCCATTGCCCCAACTGTACCGATGGCCCCTATGCTTTTGACCATGGAGCTCTACTAGTTCATTTACACTGGAAACTGCTGCTATTTACTGGTGCCAGTGCTACTACCGCTACGACCAGAATTATCATTATCATTTATCCGGAGGGAGCACCAAAAATTCCCGAGGTGTGGGCCGGGAGGACCTCGGGGATCGATCCCACCGCGCGCTGCCGGCGCGGGGGAGGAGGAGGGGAGCGGGCCCTGCGGTACGCGCGCCTCCAACGCGGGGCGCGCCCCCTCTCCCCGCCCCGCAGACTGCTGGCTGCACGTGAGGCTGTTCTACGGCGCGGAGCTGGTGCGGGAAGCCACGTCGCGCACTGCGGAGGGCTGCCGCCTGAGCCCTCGGGCGGTCACCGCTGCGGAGCGCCTGCTGGGGCCGCCCTCGCGCGTCGCGCAGGTGCGCTTCCCGGAGCCGCCGCCCGGGGCCCGCGTGCTGCAGCGCCTGCTGCGGCACCTGGAGCGCGGCGTGCTGCTGTGGGTGGCCCCCGAGGGCGTGTTCGCCAAGCGCCTGTGCCTCGGCCGCGTGTACTGGCGCGGCCCGCTCGCCCCGCACCGCGCGCAGCCCAACAAGCTGGAACGCGAGCGCACCTACCAGCTGCTCGACACGCGCCGATTCCTCGAGGGTAAGAGCGCGACGCGGGCGGGGGGCGCTGGCAGCTCGGGACAGAGTGGCTGGGCACAAGGGGGCGGCGCAAAGGCGCGTGGACAGAGGAGAGTGGGCCCCCAGGCTGTGAGCGCAGGGGACTGGGCTTAAGGATTTGGGGCTTGGGATGGACGTTGAAACAAAAGGATGTGACACATAAGTACTGGGAACGAATTATAGGCCGGGGGGACTTGGGCACAGATGTGGACACAGGCTAGTGGGGAATGTAGGCACGGGGCAGGCTTGGGGCATAAGCATAAGACTTGGGCACATGTGTTGGCACAGGGCGCTAAGCAGAGGCTGGGCATTAGGGCACTGGGCACGAGATAGGCATAGGTGAATGGCAGTGGGTATGGGGTGGGCATAAAGGTGAGAGTGAGCACGGGAGCGCGACGCACGGGGCATGAGCACTGGAAGCGGGCACAGACGCGGGGCCTGAGACAGGTGTAGGGAGGAGGAAGTGGGCATAGGGCATAGGCACGCAGTGGGGATGAGGCCTTATAGGACGTGGCCGCGGGGTAGAGGACACGGTGGGCACTAGGTGGGATTCCCGAGCGTCCAGTCTTGGTCCCTGTAGAACTGCGCGCCCACCTGCAGGATGGTCGCCAGGAGCCTGAGTACCAGATCCGTCTGTGCTTTGGCGAGGAGTACCCAGGGCCCCCAGACCAGCCCGAGGAGCGGCTCATCACGGCCCACGTGAGTCACCCCCAGCTCCAGCGAAGAATCACACCCTCCAGTCGCCTCCAAACAGCCCCTTACTGACTCCCTGCAGTCCTCAGCTCCTGACCTGATGCCCTCTGGTCTGTAGGACCCTGCATGTAAAATGCTGGTGGGGTGGGGCGCCTGGGTGGCTCAGTCCGTTAAGCGACGGAATTCAGCTCAGGTCAAGATCTCACAGTTCATGAGTTGGGGCCCCACATCAGGCTCTCCGCTGTCAGCGTGGAGCCTGCTTCAGATCCTCTGTCTCGCTCTTTCTCTCTGCCCCTGTCTCGCTCTTGCGCGCTCATTCTACCTGTCTCTCTCAAAAATAAACATTAAAAAATAATAATAGGGACGCCTGGGTGGCTCAGTTGGTTAAGCGTCCAACTTCGGCTCAGGTCACAATCTCACCGTTTGTGAGTTCGAGCCCCATGTCAAGCTGTGCTAACAGCTCGGAGCCTGGAGCTGCTTCAGATTCTGCGTCTCCCCCTCTCTCTGCTCCTCCCCTGCTCATGCTCTGTTTCTCTCTGTCTCTCAATAATAAATAAACATTAAAATTTTTTAAAAAAAATAATAAAATGACAGTTGGGTGAGGACTGTCACTAGGTCTGTAGGGGACGCTATGGGAGAGAGTTGGCGCATTGGCCCCCACGCCCTGGCAGGTGGAGCCAGTCTTCGCCCGTGAGCTCCTCATGCACTTGAAGCGCTGCCACCACCACGGTGGCCCAGCCGACGCAGGTTCCCAGCTCCACATCTCCGATGGTATCACTCACCTGCTGGCACAGCTGAGTCGGCACTAAGGGGTCACTTCCTCCTCTCCTACACTCCGAAGTCAGCACCCCCCGCCCCAGCGGACCCCATCCCAGACCTGTCCAGGCCGGTGGGGACAACGGAAGCAGATTCATGCCCTTCAACCTCCTCGCCGCGGAGACGCAGCCCTGGAACGCGGTGCGTGGGCGGACGGCACGCAGCTGGGCCTGGGAAGTCAGGAGGAAACCAAACTCGACCTTGAGGTTCCGGACACAGCAGTTAGGGCAGAAACAAGACTTCATTTCTTGTTGAGAGCACAAGACGTCCGCAACGGTCTACTTGGGAGCCCGCTTTACCTGCAACCGATTCATTAGAAGGTTTGCTTAAGGCCGGGTTTACCAGTTACATCCTCCGGGATTAGAGTGACGGCAGACGGTAACAGATTTGCCCGGCCTCCGAGAGGCTCTGAGTTTCCAGACCCTTCCTCCCACCTGCCACTGGTCTCTATTCTTATGTGGCCCGAGAGGGGTCCCACAACAGAAAACTTGGCCTCAACAGGGTGGGGGGGTGAGGGTGGGGCTGATGACTGCACCACCAGCATACAGTAAGATACTATCTTTGGAGAAACTGACCCACCCTCCAAACACAGCGCTAAGGCAGAAGGCAAAGTTGGAGGCTGCGGTCCAGCCCCTCCCCCAAGCCCCACTGATTTTTGCGAAGGACAGTTTGTAGGGAGTCCTTGAGAATTGGGAGAGAACCCCATCCACCATGAAGGCAATTGACCCTGCCTTGTCAGTAAAGTCACTGTTTTCTGCCCCAGGTGTCAGACCTTTTTTCCTTTCTGATTTCTGACTTTATAGGGATTCTTCTACAGATGGCAACATAATAAATCTCTTTTAGTGATACATTAATAAGTCACTTTTATGGAGGGAGGGAGCTGCATGCTTCGACAAAGGACAGAGTCAGTCAGACCACTGGTTTTTACTCATTCAACACATGTTGATCGAGCACCTACTCCGTTCAAGGCCAGTAGGGGACAAAACAGCATGTCCCTACTCTCTTGGGATCCATAGCCTGTTTCCCAGTGGGGGTCCAGGGACTGTCCCCTTTCCCTGCTCCTCTTCTATAGAAGGGGTTGTGTTAAGTAAGGAGTTCCAGAATCCTGGATTCAAACCTAGATTCAAATCCCAGGTTTGTCATCCACCAGCTGTGTGACTTCAGGCAAGTCACTGAACTTTGCTGAGGCTTAGATTCCCCATCTACTCAAAGGAAGCCATGAAGGCCCCTGGAGCAGGGTTGGTAAACTCGGGGAGTAAATGCAGAGAGGGAAGGTGAGCTGTCAGGAGGCTGACTTGGAGAGTGGCACACAGTAGGGGCCCTCTGACTTGGTTACTTATGGGTGGGAGAGCACGAAGGAGCCTACCCCAGCCTTCAGATTAGATCCTGACTGTCCTAGGCTTCGCTGGCCCAAGGCTGCGGCTGGTGGGGAGGCTCAGTCCAGAGTGACATTCCTGTGCCATGTCCAACCCCCTACTCTGTGCTTGACTCTTGGAGGCTGCTGTTAGGGGCCGTGTTGCATCCTCACCACTGTGTGGACAGCTGAAGAGTCGCCAGCTCCAGTTTAGAGATGGGAAACTGAGGCTCGGCCAGGGTCAGGGACTTGCTTGAAATGCCTCTTGGAGGTGAGGTGGGGTGGGGTGGAGAGAGGTCGCTGCTTAGATGGCTGTCCTCCCCACAGTGGTCACTAGGGGGCGCCAGAGCTCAGCATACCGGGTTTGGAGGTTCTCTTCACCTCCTTGGTGCGGCGCCCCTCAAACACCCCAGAGCTAGGAGGGCAGAAGTACTGTGACCTCAAGGGCTGTGCACTGCTGGGGATTGGGGGGGGGGAAGACCCCAGGCCTGGAAGGAGCAGGAGAAAAGGGGAGCGGGAGGTGGGGACTTGAGAACCCCCGGGGCTTTTCTCACCCAGTTCTCTAGACCAGCCCCTTTGATTCTGCCTCTCTCGTGTCTCTCTCGTCAGTCAGTGTGCGTCTCTCTCTGTCTCTCTGCCCTACACATCTTGTGTCTGTGCCCCTCTCTCTAGCTTACTCTTTCACCCCGTCTCTGTAGCTTTATTTCTTTCGGTGATTCTAACTTTCTCCATATAGCGTGTGTGCTCGTGTGCACATCTGGCTCTGTGTGTCTCTGTTTTTTCCGTCTCTGTCTTATCTTCGTCTCTTTAGGTATGTCTCTGCCTCTACCTCCCTGTGTATGTCACTGCTGCTCTTGTTACCGCTTTACCTTTCCGTGTCTTTCTGGTTTTAACCACCTCTCTTTTTGGTTCTGCCTCTCGCTTGCTTTGCACATCCTGTCCCTGGCCGCCACCACCGCCCAGCACGTGTGGGCTGAGGGTCTCAGCCCCTTCCCTCCTGTCTCCTCACCCAGGCAGCTGCTCACAGTTTCCCAGCCCGGCCTCCCTGCCCGCCCCTCCTGGGCCTTGGAGGAGGGGGGCAGGGATGAAGGGAGGGCAGCCTGGTGGGCCCACCCCTTTTTGCCTTTCCAGGCTGGGAGGCTGGGCCAGTGAGCCTTTTAACCAGCTCCGGGCAGGCTGTGCTGGACACCAGCCCCGGACGCGGCCCCTCTGTGGTCCCGACGGCCGCCAGCCCGGCCAGCCCGGCCAGCATGCAGCAACAGCCCCCGCCTGGGCCCTTGGCCCCTGCGGCCGAGCCCACCAAGCCTCCGTACAGCTACATCGCTCTGATCGCCATGGCCATCCAGAGCTCGCCGGGACAGCGGGCCACGCTCAGCGGCATCTACCGCTACATCATGGGCCGCTTCGCCTTCTACCGCCACAACCGGCCCGGCTGGCAGAACAGCATCCGCCACAACCTGTCGCTCAACGAGTGCTTCGTCAAGGTGCCCCGTGATGACCGCAAGCCGGGCAAGGGCAGCTATTGGACGCTGGACCCCGACTGCCACGACATGTTTGAGCATGGCAGCTTCCTGCGCCGACGCCGACGCTTCACCCGGCGAGCAGGTGCGGAGGGAGCCAAGGGCCCTGCCAAGGCACGCCGTGCACCCCTCAGAGTGGCCAGCCAGGACCCGGGAGTCCCCGACGCCGCAGCTGGCAGGCGGTGCCCATTCCTGCCAGAGCTGCCAGAGCCCAAGGGCCTAAGCTTTGGGGGTCTGGTAGGGGCCTTGCCAGCCACCATGTGTCCTGCAGTCACTGATGCCAGGCCTCGGCCACCCATGGAGCCCAAAGAGATGCCCACCCCTAAGCCTGCAGGCCCGGGGGAGCTCCCTGGGGCCCCCTCGTCTCCCCCATGCCCAGCATACGGCTTTCCTGGCGGCTTCTCTGAGGCTGAGGGTTTCAGTAAGGCCCCCACACCCATCCTGACCCCCGAGGCGGGTGTCGGGAGCAGCTACCAGTGCCGGCTGCAGGCACTGAATTTCTGCATGGGGACTGACCCCGGCCTTGAACACCTCTTGGCCTCAGCAGCCCCCTCTCCTGCACCGCCCACCCCTCCAGCCTCACTCCGTGCCACGCTGCCACTGCCAGCTGACCCCAAGGAACCCTGGGTTGCAGGCAGCTTGCCTGTCCAGGGAGGCTCCAGCTACCCACTGGGGCTGACCCCCTGCCTATACCGGACACCAGGAATGTTCTTCTTTGAGTGAAGCCAGCCTGGCCTCGGGCAGTGCCTGCAGGGCCCCTGCCAACGGCACCCTCCGGGGTGAGCCTGACTCGAGGATCTCGGGAGCCCTCGAGGGACCCAGGCCTGGCAAGCCAACAACAGCTGGGACAGGAGCCAAGATCGGAGTAGTGAACACGCAGCCAGCCCTCAGGGCCTCTGGACAGACTCGAGGGAGAGGGGAGGCGGGGCCCCCTTGGGTTCGCTCTGTGGCTCTCAGGGCCAATAAAACCAGTATGATGATGAGGGTCAGCTTGCTGGATGGTTGGGGACCGAGGGCTGGGACGCCTGGCTCTGTGTGTGGTGGCTGTGGTTGTGGGGTTGTGGGGCAGAGTCAGGGGACCCTGCGTGGAAATGTCCCATACGAGGCTTTCTCCTGCTGGGGACTTTCTTGGGGAGTTTCCCAGGAAAGTGAAGGAAGGGGGAGCAGGGAATAGGGAAGAGAGAAAAGGAGTGTCACCAAGAGACACTGGGCAGGGGGTGAAGATGGGCTGGCCTGAGGGGCTGATTCTCCAGCTCCAAACTCTGTGACTCAGCACCCCCTCTCCCATGATGAGTGGTCATAATAACTGTGACCGTTGTGGCATTTATTCTGCCCAGGGCTTGTATATATCCTTTCCGCAAACCCTATGCAGTTCAGAATGTTATCCCCATTTTCCAGTGGTGGAAACTGAGGCTCAGAGAGTTTAGAGCTCACTAGCTCCGACCCCGGATGGCAAATGAATGGCCATGCCCCCCAGTCCCTGACCTGGAGTGAGGAAGCATGGGTTGCACACGGGGTAGGAGCAGAGCTGGTGGTGACCCTCAGGGTGGGAGGGGCTTTCCTGGAATCCTGGAATGGCAGTGCCAAAAAGGCACCCCTGCCCCTTTGCAGACAGGGAGCCCAAGGCTCAAAAAGGCAGACCCCAGTCCCTTGCATTTCCCATATGAATAGGGGACCTTCCTGAGCCCCCAGCTCTCCAAGGCCCCCTGATGAGTCTTTAAGAAAGCATTTCTCTCATGGAGGGAGTGGGTGGCTGTCCTGGATACAGATCAGAAGTGACTGAGCCCTGACTTTTGGCCTCCTCTAGCCGCCCCCTCAGCAGGAACAAAAGACATGGCCCCTGTCAGAGGGACAGACTTAGGGACCTGAAACCTTAGTGTCCCCACACCCTTCATACCAGAGTTGCTGGGGCAACGGGGCATCCCTGTGGGTATAGGGAGAAAGGAAGCCAGGGATCCTGGGGGAACCCCCTTTCTGTCATTTGGTGTAGGGACTTTGAGGGTCTTCTGTCCCATGAGGTGACACCAGGGGTCTGGAGACCCTGTGGTCGGGCAGGCGACGCAGTCTCGCCAGAGTCTGGCCCTTGGGCAGGCGGCCATGCTGACTTGAGTCTCTGCTGCTCCGTCCCCCCTCAGCAGGTCCCCTGGGGGCTGGGAGGAAGCGAGCCTGGCTGGACAGTCCCAACTGTCTGGTTCCCACAGACTCCAGAGCCGCCAGGGTGGAGGGGGGCCTGCAGGGTGGGGGCGCGCTGTGACCGGAAGGGGTTGGGAAAATGCCCGGCCAGCTGTGGGGCCCCTCCCCACCACGTGCGCGCGGGACCCCAGCCTGGAGTCCGTCTATCAGTGGGGAGAAGGGGAGGGTCCTGTTCTGTCTCATCATATCTAGGCGGCCTCATGGGTGAAGAGGAGGGGGAAGTCCTGTGTGTGCGGGACATGGGTGAGGAGAGGGGAAGGAGACACTAGTATGGGTTTGCTCTAAGGTGTGTGTGTGTGCGTGTAATGCACAAACAGTTACAGAGACAGGGACAAACAGATTCAGGAGGGTAATGGTTTTCTCAGTTGGGTCAGGGAAAGAGACCTCTGCCGGGCACTGTTCCCTGTGGTTCATTCCTGTGGAGACTTGGTGACCCCAGTCCCTTCCCAGCCTGTGTCCTGAACTAGTAGGAAGATGGGGAGGCTTGCCTGATGGTGGGGGGAGCCCCGGCCTCTGCAGCCTGCCCCAGCCACCCTCCGAGGAGGTCAGCATCTGAACTGGGGTGGGGGACCTGGGGAGAACATGCAAAAGAGGGTCCACCACACCCCAGTGCACAAACCCGCTGAGGGCACGAGCCCTCTCTCCACGTCCCTCTCTGACCCTCCAACATGGTCAGGAAGTGAAGACAGAGCCCCCCCGGGCCCCAATCCCCAAGCAGGATCCTGGGCTCAGTGCCTGCCTGGACTCGCTGTGGGCTTCTGGATGCGCGCCCATCTCTTGGAGCCCCGATTTTACTCTCTTTGCCCAGTGAGGGTTGGGGGGGGCAGCCCGACTCTGAGTCTGGGTCCCAGGGGACGGTCCCACATGGGGGACTGCCTGGAAGGGATCCCATCCTCAGAGGTGTTGGGCCAGGAGGCCCAGACACCATGATCTCACGTTGCCCTCCACTTGCTGCCCAGCCGGGGGGCCCCACCCACTGGGCGTCCTGCCCTCACATTCTTTCCATGACCAACAGACGCCCCGTGGCTCCTTTCGGGCCACCCCCACCTGGAGGGGCGGACAGTGCTCAGCAGAGATCCAGAATGCCTAAGCTGAGGCCAACCCGGAGAGAGCACCTCAGCACCTCAGCACCGACCCAGGCCAGAGAAGGCAGGTGACACGCCCAAGGCCACGCAGCAAAGCAGGAGGGGCAACCCCTCCACTGCCTTAACTGTCTAGCTCTTAGAGGAAAGGGGCTGTCCCATGTGACGCTGCGTAGGGGACCCTCCTTCCTGGAGGCTTGTCTGTCTCCAGGAAGGGACCCCAACCCCTTCCCTTCCTCCCCAGCAGGTCAGAGTGGGAAAGGGCGCCGAGTTGCCCTGCAGAATCAGGCTAAGTCAAATCCTAAAAGAGTAGACTTGGTAGTGGTTAAGAATATTCCAGCGTTTTTAATCACAGCAACTTGGATTCTTGGACTATCAGTACTGAGAGGGCGTCTCCTGCCCAATTTCTGAATCCCCTCTCCCCCAAGAAGTGCCTGTCACGTGGGTTCCAGGAAAGGGGAGCCCAGCGCCTTCAGAGGCCGCCCCTTCCCGCCCTAGTCTGGCAGCTCTGAGGGGCTGTCTGGAAGTTCTTCACCTGCTGGTCTTAGGGTCTCTGCCCTCCCTGCCCCCAGGGAGCCACCCCCCCCCTTCTGCCCCCTGCAGGCCTGGGCCTTCCTCAGACTCCTCCACCCTCCACATCTTATCTCCCGCCGCTCTTCCGCCCACCCACTTCCTTCCCCGGTTTATGGCATTCCACTGTCCGGAGCTCAGCCCTCCCCACACCCCAGACAGCGCCTGAGCCAGGGGCCTGGAGACCCTGTCCTGACGAGGGCGGGCCGCTCTGAGGCCGCAGCATTGATGAGGACGAAGGGGGAGGTTGGGTCCGGCCAGCCGGACACGTCTGTCTGCGGGAGCATATGGAGCCTCGCAATCCAGTCTTCAGCCAACTCAGGCTCCCATCGCTCCCGAAGGCCAGGCTGCCCAGGGGCTCAAAGCAGGAGCTCTGGAGCCCAACTGCCCGGGTTCACATCCCAGCTCTCTCACTTCCTAGCTGTGTGCCCTTGGGCAAGCTGCTTCCTGTCTCTGTAACTATAACCGGTGCTTCCTCATCTATAACACGTGGACACGAACCATACCGACTCCTATAGGGCGCTGTGAGGACTTACATGAGTTAATACTTGCCAAGTGCTTAGAACCAGGTCTGGAACAAGGAAACTGCAATGTGTTTAGATTTATTAAATGGTTGGGGGGGGGTCCCTGGGATAGCTTCCCCGTAACCTGATTTACCCCCAGGGGAAGGTCCAACTGCTGTGGAAATGGGAGACAGAGGGAAGGGAAGCTTTGGGTTCAGTTCTTCACATCCGGAGGTGCCTGATCCCTACTCCCTCCCCGCTGGTCACTGGGTGGTGACAGGGAGGCAGCCGGTGGGGCCAAAGGAAGTGGTTCCAGGCTAAAAATGGGCCATTTAGTCACATAGCCAGAATCCTGCCTGGTGGCCCCTGGAAAGGCCAAGGCTGCCTCGACCGCAGGCCTCAGGGAGCCCTGATCTGTTTTGGGTACAAATGAGAGGCTGACCCTCTGAAGACAGCCAACACGCTGGTGAGTGTTGTTTCCACGGCGAGGCCCTTACACTTGCTGTCCCCTCCACCTGGCCCGCTCACTCCCCACCGGCTCACCTCTCAACACCCAGAGGCCAAGTTAAATATCACCTTCCCAGAGAAGCCTCCCCTCACCCCTTACCTGATTAGATGCCCCTAGATTGTTCTCCATCTCCGCATCCTATTTGTTTCCTCCCCCAGGCGCCTGTTGCGATGTGGAATTATGCATTCCTGTGACTGTTCACTTTGTATTGTGTCTCTGTCTTAGAATGTAAGCTTCAGGGAGGAGGGGTCGGGCCGCCTTATTCATTTACCTGCTTCCCTAACCCAGCGACTAGCACACAGCAGGCCCTCAATAAAGGTTTGCTGAGTGGTGAAATGGAGTCATGGGCAGCTGCCCATTCATCCCATCACCCTGGATTAAATCTGAGAGGGGCTCCCTGACCCCTTCAGAGCAAAAGCCCGTCTATGGGCCTGTGCCGTCTGGCTTTGCCCCGCTAGCCCAGCTCTCGCTCCAAGAACCTTTGCACTGATCTTCCTCTTGCCGGAAACAGCCTCCACTAATATGCCCAGAATACCCTTCGATCTCCCTTCAAACGTCCTCAGAGAAGCCTCCCCAGACACTTCCCCCACCCACCCCATCGACGCATTCTAATTTCACTAGGGTGGTCAGAATTCTCGCACCTAGAATAAAGTTCTATGAGGCCAGAGATTTTTGTCTCCTGGCCGCGTGTCCCCCTCACCTAGAACATTGTCTGGAATATGGCAGGAGCTGGGGAAATAGTTGTGGAGCAAGCGAGCTCAGAAGCCTGTGCCCGCTGCTCTAGCCACATACCCCATGTAATGCACTGTCCCTGGGAGGCAGGTGCTATGATTACCCCATTTTACAGGCAGGAAGGTGAGGCTCAGAGAGGGCAAATAAGTAGAGTTGAGCCCCATTCTGTGTGACCTGAGTGTAGTCTCTCTGTCATCAGCCTGTCTCCCTCGAGGCGCGTGAGACCTGCGTCCGCCTCTAGTCCCCAACACTTCTCTTCAACCTCTCAAGCAGATGTGGCCCAGCCCCCTTCTGGCCTCCCTGCCTCCGGTCTCTCTCTCTCTTTCACTCAGCGACCCCCCTGGCTTCAGAGATCCCTGTAAACCACGGATCTGGCCCTGTGCCTCCTTTGCTCAAAACCCCTCAGGTCTCCCTACTGCTCCTGCTCCGATTCAGGCTGGCATGTGAGGTCCCTGCCCACCCCTCCAGACTTACTGCCTGCTTCATCATATGTAAAAGCCATGCCAGAATGCTCCAACACAAGCTTGCCCTTAGCTACAAGTCTTTGGACATGCGAGCCCCACTGCCTGGACCACGCCCCTCAGTCCATCTGGAAAAGGCCTGAGCCTTATTTGCTCTCAGCTTGGATGTCACTCACTGCCATTGGAAAGGAGAGAACAGAGCTAGCGTCTTCTTCCAAGACCCTCCAGCTTCGCCCTGACCCCCAACCTCCCACAGGGTAGGGTTCCAGACGTTGTGAGCTCCCTGAGGGGGGGGACTGTGACCAATTCAGCTCCAGTCCCCGAGCAGGGACTCAACAAACAGCTGTGACATGCTGTGCATGTGTCAGAAGGAGGACCGTCTGCTTTGCATCACGACCCCACTACTTACTGGCCGGGGACCCATGGGCCTGTCCATAAACTCCCTGGGCCTCAGCTTCCTCATCGTAATGAAATACCTAAGGAAAATACCCCCTCGCAGGGTGGGGATGAAATGAGTTCATAAATGGAAATCAAGGGTACGGTGCCTAGCGCTCCGTAAATCCCAGCCGTTGACGTGCAGAAAGGAACAGGTGCGTGGGCAGCTGCATGAGTAGGAGCTCAGTGCAAGTAGGCACATCCTTCAGGGCAGCCCTGTCTCCGGCTGAATCTTTTCCCACCACTGCCCTGTTGGGTCCAAGGTGGCCAGTGGAATTCAAGGCCACTGGACGCAGACAGGAAGAGGCAGCGTCACCGGGCCTGGCGTAATCCAAACCAGATGCAGCCTCAGACCCATGGGGGTGGTCACTGCGGGCCTGGCCAAGGCCCAGAGGCAGGAAATAATCTTGGAGGAACGCATTCTGGGCTGGAATCAGCCAGGAGGAGCTGTCCCATTGAGGGTGTTAACCCTTCTTAGCCCACAAGGGGGTGCCCAGGACCCTGAGCGGTGGGGGGAAGCTCATGGCCTGGCCCTGCGAGGCACCTTGCAGGGGAGGTCACAGCGTCAGTTGGCATTGTAATGGGCCCCCGCGCCTGGGGAGCCCACAAGCAGGCACTACGGTAGGCAGAGCGCACTGGACAAGGGGGTGCTCACAGCCTGGCACCCGGGACTTGAAGAATCACGGACCGGAGCCTTGGCCCTCGGCTCCTGCTGCCAGGCCCCAAAGAGCCATGGATTCACGCTCTGCAGCAGGATGGCCCCTAGGGTGAAGAGCTTTTTCCTGCGAGGATGCTGCGGTTGGGGTTCTAGTGATGGTAGTGGGGCCGGGGCCCGGGGCTGCCCAGAGGCAGAAACTCGGCCTCACACTGAAGGCTGCCACTGCAGTGTTTTCCTGGGTGTGCTCTGTGGCCCTTGGAGGGGACAAAATCTCTCTGAACCCTCATTTCCCCATCTGTATTGTTGAGTCTACATCCTTTACCTCCAGGGACCAGGGGAGGCACAAAGGAGGCTCCTGATAAATCAAAAAGAGCTTTCCAAGATGTGCTCCTGGGAGGTGAGAGGGACAGAAGCAGTGATCAGCCCTGTCCCATGGTTCTTGGTGGGCTTCCTTCCTAGGATGTGTTCGTTTGCTGTGCAGCCTTGGGCAAGTTGCCTTCCCTCTCTGAACCTGTTTCCTCACCTGTGAAATACGGTAAATGAGCACCCTATCCCATCTTGCGACTGTCACGATGACCCTAAGAGTAGCCGTGGGGAGCAGAGCCGAGGGTGTCGGTTGCATACCACAGAGGAGGAAGTGGAGACCTGTGCCCAGAGTCCAGGGTTCTAGTCCCAGCTGTCGCTCTCTGCTGAGGGGCCTTCCTCGTTTTGGCCTCGGTTTCCCCAGCTGGATCCGGGCCCTGGATCTCTGCTGTGGCTGGACCTCATTTCCTCACCCCCCGCCCCACGGCTGTGACTCACCCCTCATCATCACGCTGTGTGGCCGAGGCTCAGCCTGGGTGGGGGCCAGCGACTGAGAGAACTCAGAGGAAACCACAGGCGCGGCCCAGCTGGCAGGTGGCGAGCAGGCAGGCAGGCCGGCCGGCAGGGATCTACGGCCCTGGGGGCCTTGCCCGTAAGCACCAGGCCCCTCAAGAGACCAAGCCAGACTCCCCAGGCCTCCCAAACCCCCAGGCTTAGCCCCTAAAGTCTGCCACACCCCGCCCCACATGGCACCTGCTGCCACGGCCGCTGCACTCATCTGCTGGTGCAGCTCAGGGGATGGGGGTGAGAACCATGGCCTTGCCCTCCGGGCCAATATTCATGGAGGCAGGGGAGGTAGAGGTGAACTGTCAAGGTCTTGGTAGGCAGGCAAGTCCAAGATCTCTCAAGAGGCAGGCAGTGTAACGTTTAAGAGTAGGGGCTCTGGGCCCCCTGGGTACAAATCCTGGCTCTGCCGTCCACTAGCTGTGTGACCCTGAGAAAGTGGCTTAACCTCTCTGGGCCTTGGCTTCCCCATCTGAGAAATGGACATAAACACAGTGCCTGCCATGCAGGCTCCCCGTGAACAGCCAACGCGATCGTGAACCCATGGAGCTGGCCCGGGGCTTTGCCCTATCAGTGTTAAGCTCTCTCGCCCTCTGGGCTGCCCTCTCCAGCCGATGGGGCCCCTCCCCTGCACCACAGGCCTGGGGCTGAGCAGGCTGTGGCCCACGGGGAAGAGCAGAGAACAGCTCTCTCTTCCCTGAGACCCCCGGGGAGACCCCCAGCCCTGCAGGTCCAGCGAAGGCATCACAGGCCTGCCCGAAATTCTGACGCTGCCTTGAGCCTCTGCTTACACCTCGTGCTGGTGAGAGGCAGGGTGTGCCCAATGGCAGAGCCTTGCTCGGAGAGCCAGAAGAGTTCATTACATGCCCCGGCTTCTGACTTGTTGAATAGCCTCCGAGTTCTTTCCCTTCTCTAAGCCTTGATTTTCTCCTCTGTAAACTAGGAATAATAATAATATCTCCCTCACAAGCTCACAGTGAGGGATAAATGAGTTAACATCCACACAAGCACTTAGCTGGAGCACACAGTAAGCATCCAATAATGGTGCTGGGACAGATGAGCAAACTGAGGCCCGAAGGAGGGAAGCTGCCTGCCGGGACCAGGGGCTGTGCCGCCAGGCACTGGAGTGCCCCTCGCGGGCCGGCACCCAGCGGTGCTTAGTGACGGCCCGTGTCTCTGACCTCGCCCAAGGGCGTGCACACACACGGGGAAGGAAGCCAAGTCCAACCTGTACATTTATTTACAAAGCACAAGCTGAGAGCAGGTGGGGACTGCCCAGTGGCTTCCCCACTCCTCCTGGGCCTGCGACCCCCTTATCTGAAGCCGCGGACGACCCTTGGGATGAGGGTCCGGAGTGGCTGGGTTGGGCCAGCCTGGCCCTCAGGCAAGCTCGGGGGTGGCCTCCCTGTGCCCCAGGCCTCTCCCCTCCCCTCCACCAGGCCTGGGCTGGGCGTCCTCCTCTCACACGGAGTTCCTGTGTGTTGGTGGTCGTGAGGAAGGTGGGCGGGGGCCGGGCCGGCCCAGATGGTGCAGAGGCCTTATCTGTTGGGAGTGGGGAGGCGGGCGGGGGCACGGAGGTCCTCTCTCACAAAGCCTGCTCTGTTCCCCGGGCAGCTGGGCCTCAGGAATTGGCCTTTGCTGCCTTCCTGCCCCACCAAGGGCCTCCCGTCCACACCCGCGGAAGCCCCACACGCGGGGACCCCCAGCCTTCCCGTTCCCGCGAGGAGCAAGCCCGGGCCGGCCATGCCCCAGGTGAGGCCGAGCAGGGGGCACCAGGGTAGCAATTGCAAGAGGGCGAGCTGGGGAGGGGACAACCGGGCCGGTGGCATCTGGGCTGTGACAGATGGGCCCGGGCCCCTGTCTGGGGAGGCGCTAGCAGGATCGGTTCAGGCCACATCTGAGGCGGCTCACGTCGGGGAAGCAGTCGCCGCACGGGGTCGTGGGAGCCCCGAGCCTCCCAGCCTGGCGCAGCCTTGTCCTAGCCAGCCCACCCGGGGGGACCTGGCCCCTCTGCTCTGGCCTTCTGGGCTGTGTGGCCTCAGCCCCGGCCACCGTGCAGCTGCGCCCAGGCCTCGGCCACTCCCGGGGCTCAGACCCCCAGAGCCATGAGCGCCCCTGAGCTGCTGATCTTCTTGAAGCGGTTTGCAGCGCTGACAGCAATGAAGTTTTTCTGAGGGAGGAGGGAGAGATGTCCCAGTCAGCCGTGGGGCAGAGGAGAAGCTGTGTGACAGACTCCTAAGTAGGTCTCCTTCATCCCCCTGCCCCCCCGCCCCCACCAAGGCCAGATGCCAGGGAGGGTGCAGTGCCCAAAGTGGCCATAGGAGGTGCCATGATACCATATCTTCCAGGACGCCTTCCTTCATTCAACAGGTATGGCGGCCAGACCTGAGTACCTCACTGTTCTAGATACTCTAGCGGCTCCTATTTCGCTCCAAGTAAAACATAAGCCCCCCGCTATGGCCAACAAGTCCCTCCAACCCCTGCCTCTCATCGCTCTCTGACTTCACCTCCCTGACCCCTTGCTCACTCCACTCCAGCCTCTCACCTGTTCCTCACACTTGCCAACCACGCTTCTGCCTCAGGGCCTTTGCACTGGCTATTCCCTCTTCCTGGAACACTCTTCTCGCCAGTACCAGCATGGCTTACTCCTCACTGCTTTCAGGTGTTCTGTTCACATGCTCCCTCACTGCGGGACCCTTCCTGACCACCCTATTAGGAAGTGCAACCTCTCCCCTGGCACTCCTGGCCATCCTCGTTCTTCTCTAGAGCCCTTCCTTAACCTCTTTTAATACCCTCCATTCCCTACCCAAAGTAAGTCCATTCAAATTAAAATGCTTGTCTCTTTGGTCCACTGGTGTATTCCCCGGGCCTAGAAGTAATAGATGCTTCTAGGGGGAGAGGGGAGGGTCACTGCAGCAGGAGAGGAACCAGCCCGGGACAGAGAGAGAAAAGCCAACCCTGTTTTCCAGACAGGGCTCGGCCGGGTCGAGAGAAGTTGCCAAGGCGGGGCTGGTGGGGCCTGGGATCTAGTGCCAGGGGCTCTTCCCGCCTGCGGTCCCTCCCTCCTCCCCACCCCGTCCAGCGGTACCTTCCAGCGCCTCTTCATGAGGTACTTCTTAAGCAAGATCTGGGACTTGAGGCGGCGGTTACAGCGCTTGGCTTTCTCTGCCAGGTTGTTGAGCCAGGGGTGGGCGAGGCACTGGGCAGCGTTCATCCGGGCCCTGAGGGAGGGGCAGTGCGGTGAGGGCGGGCGGCATGCCTGGGAAGCACGGAGCCCAGCCGCTGCCCGGCCCTCTTCCTGCCCCGCAGCGTATGCACACACACACACAGCTTGCACACACGGGGTCTGTGTCCTGGGCTGAGCCTCACCTCTGGTCCTTGACAATGAGCTTGGAGACAAAGTCTTTGGCCTCGTCGGACACGGCCTCGAAGGTCTCCTCGTCAAAGTACCAGTTGCCAGAGAGAACGTTGTTTAGGGTCTCTGTGTCATCGTCTCCCAGGAAGGGGGAGAGGCCACTTAGCCTGGAGAGGGGGGATGTCAGGGGGGCAGGGAGATGAAACTGGGGACACTGAGTCACCTTTGGGGGCTCAGGGGATGGAGGCAGATCCTCGAAGGCAGCACCATGAGCTGAAAAGACCCCCAGCTTCTTGAGTGGGACAGACCTGGGTTTGACTCTGGCTGGGTGACCTTGGGCAAGTCACTTCCCCTCTCTGAGCCTCACTCTTCTCATCTGTAAAATGGGCACAATCATCCCAGCTTCCCAGGGTTACAACGGAGAAGAGGAATGATGAGTGCATAAAAGATGTCTGCTGTCCCTCTGTCCCCGCCCTGCGTCATACAGATCTGCTGTCCAGAGCCCTAGGCTAGGACACTGTGCCCTTAGGGGCCTTCATTTCTCCATCTACAAAATGGGCACAAAGTTCCCCTCTCTTGGTTCTCTGTGGCACTCCCAACCCCAGCAAGCCCCTTCCTGGGGGAATGGAGAGGGGGGACCCACCCCAGCAGGCCCCCAAGGCCAAGTTTGGCCCCAGCTGCCCGGCCACACGCCCCAGCCCCGTAGACACCACATTCTCCCGGGACTCACAGCATATAGGTGATGACCCCCATGCTCCACATGTCTGTCTTATCGGAGATTTGGTCATAATTCACCACCTCAGGTGACAGAAACTCTGGGGTCCCAAAATTCACCTTCAGCTTCTCGTTGGGATTATACCTGGGCGTGAGAGCAGGAGCTCAGAGCACAGGCCCCAGCCCATTTCCCGGCACCCTCCGCTACCCCCCTCTGTCCCTGCCCACCTCAGAGGCTTGCCCCACCCCTCCTCCCCCCACTGAGGTGGTACCTCCGCGCCAGCCCGAAGTCAATGATCTTCACCAAATGGCCCGTGGTGTTGACACACAGGATGTTCTCTGGCTGAGGAGAAGGGGGTGGCCCGGATTGACCTCTGACCTGGCTCATCCTTTGTCCCCACCAGGGGCCACCCATGTCTGGAGCAGAGGCCCAGGCTGCCAGCGTGGGCGGCCCATCAGTGACCCCTCGACCTGCCTGTTCCAGCCACAGACGAGGGGCCTGCAGCCTGGAGAGGGACTTGCAGCCCGGAGAGGGACTTGCCCAGGGCAAGGACTGTCCCCTCTCTGCTTCCCCATTCCCCCCACCAAAATCTAACTAAGGCACCTGATAGGTGCTCAGCCAAGGCTCCTAGGAATCCTGTGGCTCCAGCACAGGGGAGCGTGTGGCTGAAGATCCTGTGAGGCCAGTCCCTCCTGCTCTGGGCCTCCATTTCCCCCCCCACGTAACCCAAAGACACAGGGCTAATCTGAGGTTGCAAGGCAGAAACATTTTAAGCCGTTAGCAATGGTCCGAAGGCAGGAGGATTCACACAAAACCCCTGCTTCCCTGATCTTCTGCACCTCCTGAAACACCAGAAGCCCTAGCCACACGACCGCACACCACTTGGAGTGAGCTGTCAGTGACCCCTGATGGCTGCCGGTCTTCCGGTTCCCCTGGGGCCTTCTCGGCCCTGGCCCGGCCCCTGCTGCACGTCTGGGCTCTGTGGGCGTTTGGTTAGGAGCCCTGACGGCAGGCTTGCTGAAGGCACTCGCTGAACCCAGCATCCTCGCAGAGACAGACACGAATGACATTAATAGCTCACCTGGTGTTCGAACAAGACAGAAAGACAAGAAAGGACCCAGGGTGCAATCTTTGGGGGAAGTGAGACAGACTCAGACCTTCTGGTCTGAGAGTTCCCGAGGAGCCCTGGGAAGCGCCTCAGGCCGTGGTTCACCCAACTTACTTGACCCTGAAACCCCTTTTTGATCACCGGGGACCCTGCTCTGCCCCAGAGGCAGTGGCTTTCACGGGGGAAGGGCACGCGCCCAGGGCCACGTGGAAGCACCAGCTCTGTCCAGAAACTCAGGAGTCACCTTGCTCTTTCCTCAGTCCAAACCCTCAACCAATCAGACTGGCTCTATCTTCAGATCGCAGCCACCACCTGGCCACCTTCCATCCCTTCCCCTGGTTCCAGCCTCTGCCATCTCAGCCCTTGGTTATTACATCCACCCCTCAGATTTCCTGCCGCCATACTGGCCCATTGACATCCATCTCCTGACTCTCCTGGCCTCGCTTGTCAGGCTGGATGCTCATGGCACCCCTGCCCCGTGGGCTGTTGGAAGGCGCCTATACCACCTCCAACAGCTCTGACCCCAAGTGAGCATGTGGCCCGGGTGCTGGGCCAGCCCCGGGCTTGCGTTGGACCTCGAAGGGCTCTGGCCCTTGCATTCTCCCCCAAGTTCACCTCGCACGTCTCCCCGTGACCCTCAAGTACTTTTCATAACACTTCTTGCGGTTTAATCTACTTGATCTACTTGAGGAATGTCTGTTTCCCCCACTGATCTGAAGGCTCCAGGGGACAGGGGTGAGTCCCTCGCCCTCCCTGCGGTAACGCCCGTGCCCAGCACAGGGCACAGCCCGGAGGAGCAGCCTGGCACAGCAGAGGCCCTCGATACATGTTTATCAAAAGAACGAAGGGAAGTACTATCCACGGTGCCGATGGGCGCGAACCCAACGCAGAGGTCACGCTCCATGTGCTCCACCAGCCCTGTCGATTATCTTGCAAACACCACCCGGCGCTCATGCTGCCCCTGCTTCCTCTGCACCAAGGCCGGCGTCGCCGAGCTCCAGGCAGCTGCCGGCACTTGACCACAGCTGGCATGATGCACAAACCCTGTTAGCTCTGTCCCCCACTGACCCACTACTCGCAAGGTACTGAGCAGGGTCAGAGGACGGATGTGAATATTCTTCCACTGAACGGTTCTGTTAAGTGCCTATCGTGTGGGTGTTGCTGCCCTGATCCTATACTTAATCCATTTGTTTTCCTGACTCCTCTTCTAGAACATAAGTTCCAAGAGGGCGGGCGTCTTCATCTGCTTGGTCTGCTCCTGATCTCCACCACCTAGAACACTGCCTGGCATGGAGTAGACCCTCAACAAATACTCGTGGGGTGAAGCAGCGAACACTCACAGCGTCTGCAAGGGGCCAGCCCTGAGGAAGACACTTCACCGACACTTAGCAAGTTCTATGCGCGAGAGGGTGAGCGCGGGGCGCCCGGGACAGTGAGAGACGTGTACTTGGTACTAGACCAGACGCCCCGAGAGCTAGGACCCAGTCTCGTTTACTCTCTGTCGTATCGCTGGCTTCTGGTCCTCGGGAAAGACTCAATAAACCCTTTGGGACCTATAGATACAAGGATGGAGGGGGGAAGAGAAGGGCGGATGGGAGGGGCCGAGGGCTAGCTGGTTACAAGCAGGTTTCGGGTGGCCAGATGCTGCTCCTGGCCCCTCCCCGGAGGCCCCAGGCCCTGTACCTTGAGATCCAGGTGCAGAACCCGCATCTTGTGCATGAAGAGGATCCCGTCGCAGATCTGCCTGACAAACACCATGGTGTCCACCTCAGTCAGCTGATAGTCCTCATCCACAATCCTCTCGAAGAGCTCGCCGCCCTCGATGCTGTGTGCACAGACCCCTCTACAGGCTTGCTTCCGGGCCGGCGGCCGCCCCCGCCCGGTGCCCCGCCCCCACCGCCAGCACTCACTACTCCATGAATAGGACAATCTCGTGCGAGGTCTCAATGGCCGCGTAGAGCTGGATCAGGTTTCGGTGGTTCAGCTGGTTCATGACCTCGATCTCAAGCTTCACCATTTCCTGGGGACAAGGGAAGCCCGGGGCCCCGCCTGAGGGTCACCACTCCCTGCCCTCTGCCCTCCACGCCTCTGCCCTCCACCGGACCTGTCGGCCCCCTCATTGCTGGCCTCTGCCTCCCATCTCTCCCCAGTCCTGAGACTGTGTCCTTACCCCTGGTCATCCCTGCTGGGACACCATTCCTTTGCCACGTGGTCCCCTTCTCCTCCTGCCTGAACGCAGGGGTGCCCGAGGGCCGGTCCTCCGCTCCCTGCTCTCCCCTTGCACGCTCTCCCCGGACGTCCCCCGCCAGCCCCAGAACCTGCCATTCCATCCAGATGTGATTGATCCCCAAGTACGCAGCTCCACCTCTGAGCGTGCCCTTGAACTCCAGGCACCGACAGCTCCAAATGCCTAACTGCCGTTCCCCCTTGGATGCCGAAGAGACATGCTGAGTCTCTCAGGAAACCCTCGATGTGGCCGCCTCCCCACAACTGAGCTGCTCTCAGCCTGCCTGTTAGCAAAGGGCCTGACCGCTGGCCCAGGCGCACAGGACAAAAAAGCTAGAAGCTAGCTCAGATTTTCCCGCATTCTTACTCCCTCACACCCCGCATCAGGGAACCCTCTTGGATTACAAACCCAATAATGGTTGGCTTCTCACCTGCTCCACCACCGCCTTCCTAGTCGAGGCTGCCATTACTGTCACTTTCAGAGAGGCTGAAAGCCACCTGTCATGCTGCTAGCTTGATATCAGCCACCGGAGGAAAATTTACACCAGAGAAATGGCCAAATGCTACAAAATGAGCCTCTCCCCCTGCGCGCCCCCCAGCATCATATCACTACCCCAATTTTTCCCATTTTCCTTGTGATTCTATTCCTTCATTCATATCTCACAGTGCTTGTCACTTCCCCAGGGAGGCCTTAACCTCACCACCCTATCTGGATGCCCGCCATCGGCCCCACACTCCCTGTACCCTACCTCCCTTTATGTTTCTTGCTAGCGCGTCTCAGTTCCTGCTGCCATGCTTTGTGTTTGCTTGGGTTTTAGTTGTTTGCTCCTCCTCTCTAGCGTGCCCGCCCCATGGAGTTTACTACCATTTCCCTAGCACCTGGCACAGGGAATGGCCCAGAAAAAGTGCTCTGTAAGAAAGGAGTCAAGGGGCGCCTGGGTGGCTCAGTCAGTTAAGCGTTCGACTTCAGTTCAGGTCATGATCTCACGGTTCGTGGGTTCGAGCCCCGCGTCGGGGTCTGTGCTGACAGCTCAGAGCCTGGAGTCTGTTTCAGATTCTGTGTCTCCCTCTCTCTCTGACCCTCCCCTGCTCATGCTCTCTCTCTCTCTCTCTCTCACTCTCAGAAATAAATAAAACATTAAAAAAAAAAAAAAAAAGAAGGAAAGGAGTCAAGAGCCTACTCCAGTGAATCTCCACCACACGGATGTCCTGAGCATCTGTACCAAGCCAGGTCCGTGATGGAGGCCTGGGGACCCAGCAATCAAGGGGAGGAGTTGGAGAAAGGCAGAGTCACGTAGGAATGACATGCCTTTCCAGTGTGTGTAGAGCCGTGACAGAGACATGGGGTTGCAGGTCTCTGGAGCTTCTCCTCATGCTCTTCCCAGGCTCCAGGCCTCTGCAGGAGCTGCGTCTCTGCCTTGAATGCCCATCGGTTCGCTTCCCAGCTCTCCCGCCCGCCTCAACCCAAGGGTTGAGACGAGCAGGTCTCTGGCCATTCCGGGCCTTCAGGCCTTTCCTCTCATGGTTCCCCTCTGCTTGAAACTCTCTCCCCGGCCCTGCCACTGGAATCAGCTCCTGCTTCAAGCCTTCCTTCTAGAAAGACCCCCCAGCTGCATCAGGAGCCTTCTCTGTAGCCCCCTCCTGACCCCCGCCCTAGCTTTCTCAAGTTCCAGCCCTCACCACGCAGGTTACTAGGTGGTCCTCACCTCCTCACACACCTGACTCCCTCCCTTCATGTGAGCCTCTGCCCGCATTCATTCATTCATTCATTCATCCATCCAGTCATTCATTCATTCCTTAAATAAACACTGCCCTCTACCTCCTCTGAACCGGGCCAGCTCTAGACCAGGGCCTGATGACCTCAGCCTTCCCTGAGGGCATAAACCACATTCCCTTCACTTTGGGACCCCCAGGGCCCAGCACAAGGCCTGGCCCAGAGCCCACACTCATGTTTGCTGAATTGAGCCAAACAGAAGGCATGAATGTCCTGTGCCTAGAAGGAGAAGTCGCAAGGATAATTTCACTAACTGAGGTGTCTTGTTTATGGAGAGGGGCTTCAGGCCCCCGTGGCAGGGTTCTCTGCCTGTCCATCTGTCTATCTGAGTGACATCTTCAGCACAGCAAGGTCCACACACCAAGCCCCTAGTGCAGACATGTGAGTAGAGGGAGGCGAGAGGCACCTAGTCCCCACTGCAAGGACCCCCCCGCCTCCCTCCCAGGTAGCCAGCCCCTACTACCTTGTCTTTGGGCGTCTGTTTCTTGATGACCTTGGCTGCCAGCTTGAGGCCTGTGGCTTTCTCTGTACAGGTACAGACTGCTCCAAACTTGCCGCTGAAGAGAGAAGAGGTTGGGAGTGACGGGGTTCCCAGGGACACAGGGCCGAGGTTGGGGGAGTGTCTGCTGAGGTAGGGCTGAGGCAGTTCTGCTTCCGTCTGGATCTCCCCCTGTGAGAGCGTATGTGTGCCCCAGCCCTCCTGGCTCCATTCTGAAGTGATGAGCTCCACTGCAGGGACAGAAGCTGAACCACAAAAACCATGGGCATAGGACAGGTGGGCTCACACAGAGGATGGCCCCTGGTGTGGCAGCTCACAGGCTTGGGGTAAGCAAGGGCCCTGGGGCCCCAGGGGAAGGCATCTGCAGGGTTCATTATGAAGCGCCTTGCAGGGGTCGGGGCGGTGTCTAAAACTGAAACAGACAGGAAAATGCTGTTTATTTCCTATGGGAAGCACTGAATGGCTGATGGGTGTCTATGTGAGAGACAGTGACATGAGTGCATGTCAACCCATGGGACAGCTTGTGTATGATGGGGGTTATTAACAGTCGCGTGGAAGCAATTGTGTCCACAGAGATCGGGGTGTGTCTGGGCCTTGGACATGAAAGACATGAGGCCCTGGGTACTTGACGTACTCCTGCCTTTGGGCCGGGGGCTCAGGGTCCCAGCTCTCACCCGCCCAGCGCCTCCTTGGAGTTCAGGCTGAATTGGCTGCTGACGTTCCCAGGCCTCAGCTCCACGATGCGGTGGGGAAAGGGGGCTGGGGGAGGTGGACAGTCATCTGGGGAGGCAGAACAGAGCCATCAGCCAGCGGCAGGAGCTGCCAAGGATGTACCCCTGCGCCACCCCCTCCTGCCTGGCCTGGGCCCCATCCAGCAAAGTTCACCAAGTGATGATACCTGGGGGGGACAGCTGGCTCCAGGATAGGGGCTAGGGGGCCCAGTGTCCAGTTTCAGCTCTGCCACCAACACACAAAATGGCCTTGGGACTCTGTCAGAGGGGGCTCAGCTTCTCCTGGCACAACAATGGGGACAGCTGATTGGACTTCTCGGACCCTCCCACATTATAAGGTATGAAGTCTCCATCCCAAGCTATCTGTATTTCCATTAAAGAAAAAAAAAATAGGCGGGGTGCGGTGGGGTGGGGACGCTAATGGTGGAGCGCCAGATAAGCGGTACTGTGTCCGAATGATGGGGTAGGGGACTGGACCTGCCTACCAGCCCCTCTAATAACACCACAAGCTGCCCCGACCTGTGGAATGGCTGCCCAACCTGGGCACGGCCCAAGGGCAGGGCGAGGGCGGGAGGAGCCGGGCATGGAGGTGTTTGGTAGGGAGACGCTGCCACCTAGCGGTAACAACGGGGTACAGCAGGCCCTGGCGGCCCGCAGGCTGAGTCATCGGGAATGGAAACCTCTTTATAAATAGCAAGAGGCCGCAGGGAAGCCGGGCTGGTGATAAATCTGATGGCCCTTGGAGGCTGTTCAGGTCCCGTCACCCCGAGGATGTGATTTCTGGAGGGGGCGGGGCAGAAGTCTCTGCTGCTGCTTGCGGGAGGAGGCAGGGCTCCTGGCCACTGCCCAGCCGCCAGGCCCTCCCACCGTGTCTGGGTGGCACCGTGCCGCTCACCAGGCAGGCAGACTGGGCTTCCAGGGCACCTCAGCCTGGAGGAGGGGGGTGTCAGGACACCCTGAGCTCTCCTGACCCCATCTCACCCCACCCCCACCCCTGCTGCACCCCTGCCCAGGCCCTTTCCCTATTCAGCTGATCCCCAAGCCCACTCATGCTCCATGTCTCCTGCTGCCCACTTAATAGACCACTAAACCGCCAGCTCCTCGTCTGACCATCAGTTAAGGCCATGCCACAGTCCTGTCCCGTCTCACGTGCCCAGCTCCCTTGGTCACTGCTCCCATGCACATACACCTGTGCTCCTCAGTTCACGACGCCTCTATGGCTCTCATGACCCCCCCTACCCCCTCCAGGATGTAGTTGAACTACCAAAGCTTGGCCTTTGAGCTCTTCCACTGACTGACTTCAAATTCCACTGTCCAGAGAGTTGGTGCTGCTCCAAAACCAGCCTAATTCCCCCCGACCAAAACCCCTTCTAGAAAACATAAAAGAGGGTGCAAAAAGTGGGTTCTGGAATAGCACCATTTGGACAGATTCAAACGCTGCCCTGGCTGTGGATTTGGGGCACTCACTACATTTCCCTTCCCCAAGCCTCGGTTTCCCCATCAAAAGGGACTAGGTACTTCTTAGAGTTGTATGACACACGGATGGACCAGCCCGGGTGAGGCATGGCTCAGAGCAGCTCAGCCCTCCAAACTGGGAGACTTGGGAACATCGGGGGAGCCCCTTTCCCCCCCTAGCCCCCCCCTGCCCCTGGCCTACCCAAAATCTGGAAGCAGTCCTCCTCCCTGGCTGTGGGACCGAGGGCCTGCCCCACCTCCGATTTCTCCGAGGGAACAGCCTGGAACTCGATCCCCCTCGAGGTGTCCCCTTGCACCTTAGCCTGCCCATCCTGGCCTGGAGCCTTCTCTCCTGCTTCCTTCTGGCTGCCTGCCGGGATGTCCTTCTCTCCTTCTGCTACCTTGGCTGGCCCGGGATCCACGGGGCCGGGGGTCACAGGCACCCCTTCAAAGATGAGCTCCAAGTCCTCGTTTGGGGGTTTCTCATCTGGCAGCTTCTCGGGCCTAGAACATGATGACACAGAGATGATGCCTTTAGCAGCCAGAGCCGTGCTTTGGCCTCCGGGAGGCCTCGATGCTTCCAGACCGTCTTCTGCAATCTGGAGCTAATACAACCTCCTCCCGCCCCCCACTGCCACCGCTCCCTCAAATGCATGGAGTGATGCATCCAAATTCACTTTATATGAAATCAAGGGATGTTAATAATACCGTAAATGTTTGTGGTCCTTATCTTGACTATCAATGCACTAATAGATCATTAATGCCTACTAATAGGGTTGTTGTTTTGGTTAATCATTATGTGGCTACAATTAGGGAGAGTGTGTAGTTCTTGATTCACAAAACCGTGGCAATTCAATTAATCATGTATCCAGGATATCAAGGTATCAACTGGTATTAATATATAATTCTGACTGACACGATATGATTACTGTGGTTTACAGATACATCTCTAAGATCATTCATGTGATTACCATTCAGGTAAGGAACGGTTTGCCTCATAAGACTGTTGCTGTATCATGGTTATGAAAGTATTAGTAATGATCTATCAATCTGATTATTAGTCATCTTTTCATATTATGGTAAGAAGGTAAGTTATCTTCACCCCCACCCCTGATATCTCAGGCCTGCCCTTGGCTAGAACCAAGTTCATGGAGTAAGGGGACCTCTGGACTCCAGAGGCTTAGAGAAGAGGTCGGTCCCTGAGGACCTCTCTGTCCTGACCTCCCAGTGTCTATGAACACTCAAGCCAGGGTTTCGGCAGGGGCGTAAGGTGTCGGAGCCAATGCCCAGGACAGATGCTGAGCTGTCTCAGGACCACCCGATCTAGCACTGAACAGGGTGCTAAGCGTGACGATGCCCAAAACAGAGGAGCTAGGCGTGACCACTGGGGCCAGAGCCTCGGACCCGTCCCCACGGCCAGACAGGGGGCATTCACCTGGAGATGATGGCCGGACAGCTCGGGCTGTGCAGAAAGGCGGGGGAGCTCCTCCTGGCTCCCGCTTGGCCCTCGGTTGCCTTCTTGTGCCCCTTGGGCTCTCCGGGGCCCTGGCTGCCCGAGGTCTCCTGCTTGGCGCTGGGATTCTTGACACTGGCCTCCGCCGTCACAGTCTGCTGGGGCAGGTCTGCTGGCTGCCCGGCACCGCCCTCTGCGGGCCCCCCACCCAGATCGCCTTCTCCCTCGGGGCCCCCGCTGCCCGCTGAGGGTTGGGCCAGGGCGTCATCCCCTTTCTTTAGGGCATCGGCTCTGGCATCTTCCTTCAGGGTGGGGGGACTAGTTTCTTTCTTGGGGTCTGGGGGCCCAGGTTCTTTCCTTGCATCGGGGGGACCAGTTTCTTCCTTTGGGTTTGAGGGGCCAGGTTCTTTCTTCCCATCTGGCAGCTCGGGGCCCTTCTTTGGATCTGGTGGACCAGGCTCTTTCTCTGCAGCCGGGGGTCCTTCACCTGCTATACCTTTAGGTGCCTCGTCTGCAGAGGAAGTGAGACACCAGTCAGGATCCACCCACCACCCCCAAGCAGGCTGGCCAGAGACCAGCTCTGGGCCCAGGTCCCCACGTAGGCAGCAGTTTGCAAATGCTTGTCCCCCTGAGCCTCTAGAGATGGGCTGCCGGGGCCTTGGAGGCCCTTTGGGGACACTTCTGGTCCTCTAATGCACCTTGATGCCCCCACCATCGCTTGCCCAGAATGTTTAGGTGCCGTGCATGGGGGCTTCGCACTTTCCAGTATTTTCCAGGGAGGGCTTCATGCAGGCCCTCGACCCAGCCCAACCTCACCCGGAGACAGTTGTAATTTCTGGGTCTTTCATGCACGCTGTACCAAAGGGCCTGGGGCACAGAACTCCCGCTGAGGAGCGGGCCCAGCCCTGGATTCAAACACCCCTTCCCAGGCTCCTCCCTCTGCCTCCTGCCCCAGCTTGGCACCTGTCGATGGGCTCTGGATTCCCAGCTCGACTGCTCCGTTTTCTGTCGCCATGAGGTAGGGAGGCGTGTGCTTCTGCTTGTCTAACTCAAGTCTTTCTAGCTGCAGAAAGGAGAGTGAGGTGTGTCAGGCTGTCAGATTCCTCCTCCTGTGTGGCCCAGAGGAGCCAGGCCCAGCCGACTGAGGGGAGAAAGGTACCTGGAGCTGCGAGGGGCAACTTGAGGGCCGTCTGACTTGCAGCGGCTGCCCAGAAGCAGTCCTGGGGCAGTTGTAAGGGACTGGGCTGGGGGGGCAGAGGCGGAGGCAGGGGCGCGGGCAGGGGAGGCGGGGGCGGAGGAGAGGATCTCTTACACCAGGGGCCATGCGGCTCGGACTGCCACCACCTGTCACTCTTGGCCCCCGTTCAGAGGACACGGCATTCTTCCCACAGACCGACTGGGGGGAGAGGAGTGTTGGAAGAGAGCAGGAAGAGAAAAGGGAGGGGGCATCTGGGGCCCTGAGGGAGCAGCCTTTTCCCAGGCCTCGCCTGGTGTCCCCGGCTCGGCCAGGGGTCAGGAAGGGGGCCCGGCGCCCCAGGGGCTGTCGGGCAGGGCTGCAGGACAAGGCTATGCTCAGGCCGGCCCGTGGCTCTGCCCACCTGCGTGCCACGTCTCCTGGGGTTTCCCAGAAGCTGGTTAGAGCCAGGCAGGCCTGGGGATAATCACCCTGACCCCACTGCCCAGCTCTGTGTCCGCGATCCCTGCCTTTGGCATCCAGACCTACTTGGGGCCTCTTTGGGGAAGAAACTGTCTCCGGGGGCATTTGCTCAACAGGACCATGGACCTGAAAGCCTTTTTCTTTCGAAGATGTGTTTTACTTGGGCTCCTGGGGAGACAGAGGCTGCCCCGAGCAGCAGGGGGAGATGCTGAGTGCTCAGGCCCAAGGCGCCAAGCAGGTTCCTTCTTCCCAGTGGCCTGTTTGGAAGGAGAGGGGCTGCTGGAGGATCTTTCCCAAGGATCCTTCTGGGGGCCACTCCCGCCCGAGATGGGATGGGGAGACGTATGATCCAAAGAGCTTTCCATCATCCAGGGGCTGCCTGCCCAGAGCCTGTCTCTGAGGGGGACCTTGAGAACTGGCTGAGCTGGGTGTACTGGAAATAGCCCTGGAGTGGGCATCTGGGTTCAGGCCCTCACTGTGACCACCATCCTGCTCACTCCACCCTCCTCTCCCACATGGAGGAAACCACCCCTGCCCTCAGAAAGAGGGAGGCGGAAATGACTGGAACAAGGGGCATGGCTCTGCAAGGGGGAAATTACGCAGCTGTAAAAAAGATCGAGGGTGCTGTGAACAGGATGATATGAAGCTGTCTCCAAAACGGGGGAGGGGGAGAATTAAAGTCAGCAGAATAGTGTACAGGCCATGCTATCGTGGGGGCAAAAGAGGGTAATCTACATAATAAGACACAAACTTGCACTGTGTTCATGTAAGAATGTCTCTGGGGCAATGAGAAAAAAATGGGGGGTCAGGGTGGGAGGGAGACATCACTGCCGCATCCTTGCACTTTTTTTCTTTGGACCATGAAGTATGTGAATGGAATGCTATTCAAAATGAGTGATTTTTTTTTTTTTTTCAAGTGAGCAAATGTTGGGGTTGTTGGCCGAAGCTTATAAAAACCCAAGTTGGAGCTCGGTCTCCAGTCTCGATGACTTGTGTCCTTCCTGGCCCTCCTGGCCTGTTTCCCTCCTTGGGGGTCCCGGGGAAGGTCTGCCTCTTCTGGAAAGCAGAAGTGCTAACACTCTCATGTAGATCCACTCACTTGATCCTCAGAACAACCCAATGAGCTAGGTTCTATTACAGACGGGGAAACTGAGGCACAGAGCAATTAAGTAGCTTACCCAAAGCCATATGGCTTGTCAGGGACTGCGTTAGGATCTGAACGCAGGAAGGAAGCTCTCATTTCTTTTGAGGGCCTGCTGTTGGCTCCTTCCAGGTTGTCTGGAAACTTCATCTTGATAATAGCTCTGTGGGGGGCATCCATCCTATTTCCTAGAATAGAAGATGGGGACCAAAAGAGTAACTGGCCCGAAGTCACTCTGCAAAGGGTTGAGCCAGAAATGTCCTTCCTCAAAGCCCAAAGTCCTCTTTCTTCCCTAAAATCTCCCGGCCCGTGTCTTGCCCGCCTCCCCCCACCGCCAGGCATCCCCTTTGTGGTCTGACCGTGTCCCGAAGGTTGAAATGCTTCCTTTTAATTTTTTTAATGTTTACTTATTTTTGAGAGAGAGACAGAGACAGAGTGTGAGTGGAAGAGGGGCAGAGAGAGAGGGAGGGAGACAGAATCTGAAGCTGCCCCAGGATCTGAGCTGTCAGCACAGAGCCCGACGTGGGGCTCGCACTCACAAACTGTGAGATCATGACCTGACCCAAAGTCGGATGCTTAAACGACTGAGCCACCAGGTGCCCCAGAAATGCTTCCTATCCATGCCTGGTATTGGGAGCCCCTGACATGCTACTTGTCTGTTCCCACAATATGATCTGGTTTAGTGTGAAATGTTGGGCACTCCTGCACTGGCCTCCCTCAGCTCCAGGCTGATCCCACCACTGACAGCCTCCGGGAGCCTCTTGAGGGCAGGGGCTTTATGGTGGTCACGTGCGTCCCCAGCACAAAGTGTACTTGCCAGCCAGTGTTTGGTGAGTAAGTGACTGACTAGCAGGGCTCTGGACCGGCGTTGTGGGATTACTCTGGTATGATGGCCCTTACTGACATTCCCGTGTTATTAACTATGGTTGTCAGTACCAATCATTTACTGAGTCAGTGCACCCTCAGGGTCAAGCCTGACTCTGCCAAGGGCTTTACCCAGCTCACTGGATCCTTTCAAAGGACTACAGGGCCAAGAATTAGGCCATTTTAAAGGTGTGGAAGCTGGGGGCACCCGAGTGGCTTGGTAGGTTAAGCATCTGACTCTTGGTTTCCGCTCAGGTCAAGATCTCACGGTTCGTGGTTTCGAGCCCCATGTCGGGCTCTGTGCTGACAGCGCAGAGCCTGCTTGGGATTCTCTGTCTCCTCTCTCTGCTCCTCCCCCACTCACACTGTCTGTCTCAAAATAAGCAAATAAACTTAAAAAAAAAAAAAGGTGCGGAAGCTGATGCTGACAGAAGGTAAGAGGCTCTTCCTGAAAGTTACAGCCATTGAGTAGCTGTAAACAGTTCAGATTCGAATCTAGCACCACCTCCTGTTGAGACCAAAATCCAAGCAGGGACAACATAAGGGGCTTTATTTGCTACATCTGTTGCTGTTATGCTTCCCAAATAACTTGGCCTGTCTTAAACTCTTACTAAGGGGTCCAACAAAGGGGTAAGCAGCTTCATGTTAAAAGATCTTACTGAGCAGGGGCTTACTTAAGGAGCTCTGAGATTAGTAACTGAGGTTAGACAATTGCGGTCACGTTTGAGCACCTTCCTCAGAGGGGGAGGCGTATAAAGCATTTAGAAGAGTAGATGAGGAGGAGACATTCTAAGTGCTGTACAAATGTCAGCTCTTCTATCCCCATTTCACAGATGTGACAGGAAAACTGAGTCACAGGCAAACTCACAAAGTTGGGTCTGAACCATCTAAACCAAGGCTCAGCTAACAAGCACTCTGCCCCATGGCCTCTCCTAGGGTGGCTGGGAGCATTTAGGTATGGAGAGTGCTTGGCACAGTCCGGGCAGCACGGTGGGCTCTCGGTAATGTTGTGGACGCCCCAGGGAGAGGGCTGGGCTGTCCCTGCGGGCTCCTCCACGGTCCCTCCCTCTGGGAGGAGAGGCTGGCCTGGTTCCGGGTCCACGGGATTGCCTGCAAGCTCGCTCGTCTGCCCAGGGTTAAGCTCAGCTCGGCCAGCTGCTCCCTGGGAGTCCCTGGGGGAGGGGCGCAGGGAAATCTCCCAGCCCGGCAGGGGGCTGCCAGAGACCCTGCCCACCCTTAAGAAGGGGCTTTCCCGGCCTGCACCAGCTGGGCAGCCGCCCTCTCTGCCTCTACAGGGGCAGGGCAGGAAGTGGGGGCAATGCCAGGACCAATTAAACCCGCCAGGGGAATTAAGGTCAGCAGGATGCAATTATGCCTGTTGGATTTAACAAGGCCAGAAGGAAGGTTTCTCCAGCCAGAGTTCACGGCTCCTTAGGCCTCTTGCCCTGGATGGCTCTGCATTCCAGAAGCCTGGGCTCCCAGGCTCACCCATCCCTGGGAGAATTACTTGGGAATGGAGGGGTTAACCCCCACCCCCCCCCACCCCCGGGCACAGCTCCCCTGGCTCCTGGAAGGAAATTGACCCAGCCAAGTGGCTTTAAAAGGCCCTGCTCAGAGAAGCCGTTTCCCAGCCTGACCCCCTCCCCGCCTGGCTGTGATGGAAAATCCAGGGAGTTGAGTAACCTTTCTGACTCCAAAGAGAGGGGCCAGTTCACCTCCAACTTTCCTGTGGTCCTGACATGACAGCCTCTCAGGGCTGGTTTCTCTTGTTCTCTCCTCCTCGGGCGCCTAAGCCTGGGGCCATGGCATTCCCTCTCAGGCCTTTGGGAGAGATCTAGATAAAGCTGCTGTCCTTACAGCCGCCCCTGTTCTTCCTTCTGGGGCTGATAAGCAGAGGCTGTGGACACTCTGTGTGGGAGACTGAACAGAGATCCCTCTGGAAGCTCAAATGATACACTGATCCATCTCAAAATCAGTTTTATTGCTAAGATTACATACTGAAGCCTCTACTCTGGGGCAAAGGCTAAAGTGGTCACTTTGGGGACACAGAGATGTCGAAGAATAGCCACAGAATCACCACATAGTACATTTTTGGTGAGAAATGATTGCATAGTCATTCATGAAGTAGGATCCTTTTGTGTCGTTAAAAACATTTATTAAGAAAATGGCAAAATGTCTGGAGGGATATACATATATTTAATAGGTGTGGGAGTAGAGATGGGTTCTATTGGGATTTTCCAATTTTTTTTTGAAGTGACCATTTGTGACTCTACACAGATTAATACTTTGGCATGTATCCACATGGACACAGATTTCTACCGTTCAAGACAGAAAGTGGTAGGAGCTGTATATGAGACCAAAAAGACAACACAGATTGGGGCTGATGGTCAGGGAAGACTTCTTAGCTGCAGGCCCGGCGCCAGCAGGCTTTCAGGGCTCAGGCCTGAGTTGGTTTCAGATGAAGCCTCCTTAGCAGGGAGCCCCAGGACCCTGTCTCTATCACCAGCATGCTCAACCAAGTCTGAGAACCCCCATGTCAGGGGGCCCGCTCCTGAGAGCATCACTGGTACAGCTGGCCAGCTCTTAGAAGCCTCTAGAGCGTGGGCCGTGCTTCTCGGCGCTGATGCGAGTGGGAAGCGTCTGGAGAGCTTTCACCACTCCTGAAGCCTGAGTGCCTCCTGAGTTCAGGTCAATTAACTCCCAATATTGAGGAGGTGCAGCCCAGAACGCTGAGCATCTGACTCTTGACCTCAGCTCAGGGTCATGATCGCACGGTCATGAGATCGAGCCCCGTGTCCGGTTCCTCCATGCCAGGCACGGAGCCTGCTTGGGATTCTCTCTCTCCCTTTGTAGAGACAAAGGACAGAGTCCCTCCCCTGCTTGCGTGAGCATTCTCTCTCTCTCTCTCAAAATAAATAAATAAACTTCTCACATGGCAGGTGTTTCCTCCTGATTTGCAAGCACGGTGCACAGTGTCCCAGTAACTGGGGCTCTGGGGATCTAGACCTAGATCCAGCTCAGGACACGGATCACGTCAGTCAACTTTGCACCACAAGGATCCAGGACAAGGAGTGGTGCCATTCTAGCCACGAACATTTACTGTATATTTACCACGTGTCATATTAACTCCTTTGGTCTTCATAGCAACTTTAGGAAGTAGATACTACTATCACGCCCATTTCCAGGAGGAAACTGAGGCACAGAGGAGTAATTTGCCCAAGGAGAGACGGCGTTCCAGTGGTGCTGAAATTTAAACCCAAGCCGTTCGGCTCCAGAGCCTGCATGATTAAGAACTACCCCGTACCACTGAATGCCCCCACTGAAAAATGAATTCGTGAGTAAGGGAAGAATACGTGGACTCTGTCATCAAGCTGGTAGCCCAGGGCCTGACGTTCGGCAGGTGCTTGGTAAGTGTTGAAGAGTAAATGCTCCCACTTCGGTGGGGCCCTGGGACAACGGGAAACCTTCACTTTCTCGCTCTCCTCCATCTCAGCCCAACTCTGCAGCAATAAACAGCAAAGCCCAAAATAGCCACGTAATGACGTCAGAGGAGCAAGGTCATCTGAAAATTACCCAGGGCCACTGGACACCTCCCTATAGGATCAAGTAGCAGGAGGGTACCCCGGGCTGGTGCAGCTGTTCCAAGAGCAGGAAACGTCCCAGGACCAGACTTGGAAGCACCACCTCGGGAAGGCAGGGCCAGTGGGGGTGGGGGACAAATGCAGACACGTAAAAGAGTAGAAGCGAGACTCAAGTACGGAGGACAGACCTGGGAGTTGAAAGGAATTCAACTTTGCACAGGAAGCCACTCCCACCACACGATCCCAGGAAATGGCTCAAAAAGTGGGGGATGTGTGTTCTGTCCCCTTGCACAGGATGGCTTCCCGGCCTACCCCATTGTGCTATTTATAAAACTCGAGGTCCATTTGCTAAACTGGGTTCCCATAAGAACCAGGAGGTGCTGGGCAAGCCCTGAGTGGCCGCTGTGGGAAGAGGGCCCTGCCTGGGATGGTGAGGGGCGCCCAAACAAAGGGGAGTGGGCCGGGGCAAAGCACCTCCCGGCAGCGGTCACTTGGCAGTCTGACCACCCTGGCCACCATTCCGTCCTGCCAAGGCTTGTGACTCAATTGACTGGCAGCCGCCGCCTCCCGGACGGGAACCCAGGCATCCAGAACGGCCTGAGAAGAGGCCTGCTGGGTGAGACCGAGGAGGGGGCGTCCGCCTCCCCGCCGCTGGGACGCTTAGCTGGAG